CTTAGCATCTGAGGGGAGCTTAGGGTACCTTCTTCTCTTTGGGCAAGCTTTAGGGATGCCAACATCTGAAGCTGAGCTGGTTTCCCTGTCAGCTCCCTCCCAGTTTCGGCGCTGAAACATGAAGTCTCTGAGCTACCCCCTCTGCCACATGCCAACAAAAATGCTTTTGGTGGCTCCCTTGCCGGATCCCTCCGAAGGGGAACTTCCCACAGCAAAAGAAGCAAGCCAACAGCCCCAAGAAGGCGGTTGCAACGAGTCCAAGTGTCCACAGACTCCCTCCCCATCCCTCCCTCCTCCCCTTCCCCGCTTCCCCTCCCCTCTCCCATTGGGAGTGTCCCATGACGCCAGGAAGATGTTTGCAGCCCTCGCAGTTGCGCCCATGGCTGCGGCCTTTCCTTGCGCGGGGCCCTACGCCAAACAGACCAGCCAGACAGCCAAACAGCAATAGCGACACAACAACAAACAGCCGGCTCAGCCGAACAAGAGCCCAAGCAACAAGAAGACGGGCTTCATGTTGCTCCAAACCAAAAGCAAAAAGGCGAACATGGCATGTATAGCCACTGTCCACTGTCTAAGACCGTTTCCTTCATGACATATGGCTGTGTGTCAAAACCAATGCTACCACTTTGGGGTAGGTGCACCACCCATTTCAGTCTATTTTACTGGGGATTGGGATGTTCACTGAGGATACGAAATTTGATCCCATGGCCATATTGCGCCATTTCCCACAGAGCCGCCATTTCCCTGAGGCCCGAGCTCGCCCTCATTCGTGCACGCCAGCTGTGGAGTGTCCGTCACCGCTGCGGCGGGCTGTGACAAGGCACGGAGCGAAGTATCCCATATCTTTGGTGCATTCTGCTTGGATGTGAGGACTTTAGCTTTTTGCCAACTAATAGGTTTTCCATTAAACCACTAAAAGTTAGTCACTTTTAGCAGGGGAGCAGAAAGCAACCGAGAAATATGTTTATTGGTTGTTTACAGCTTGTTTTTGTCCTGTTCTTTTTTGGAGGGTTGCAAACAGCACAGTTTTCCTGGTTCCAAGGGTTGGAACGGATCCTCGGGCAGTTCGCTCGCCTTTGGTGGCACTTACCTTTCCGTGTTCCGTCTGTTGATGGCTTTCTGCCCAGCTACCAGACTTTTGGCTCGGTGCTTTCAAATCGTCGAGGGTCGGATCTATCGCACTTTCCCAACGAATGGACTGGTGGTTGTCCCTGTGTGTTGCTTGCGTCATCTCCAGGTTAGTTTGTTCATCACTTTATATCCCCGCACCCCCATCCACCCAACCACCCACCAAACCCGCCCTCCCCCCCTACCCCCCTGCCCCACCTACTTCACCTACCCCACCCACCCCACCCACCCCACTCACCCCACTCACCCACCAACCCACCCGCGATTTTGCTGCCAGGTCATGTCAGAGATGAAGGCCCGGGTGAACGGCCAGAGTTCAGGAGCAACTCGGTGACAGTTGGAGCAGGTCGCCTCGCTGTGTGAGATGGCGCACGGCCTACTCTTTACCAGATTTGGGGTAGTGGGGTACTCTTTCTAGCCCATCAAATGATCAAGCCCGTGATTTTGTGAGCATGCGTGATAGTTTTGAGCAGGCGAGAGAGGCATATTCGTACATTTTGTGACGCTATGGTGTGGCAAGTCGTTCATCGCCCTTTTCTGGAACTGAGCCCTGCTTTCGATTCTCAACTGTGAGGCGTTGTCCGGCATTGTGTTTGTGCAGCTGGCGCAATCACTGCAATTGATGGCTTTGTTGGTACTCAGCGTCATTCTTGAGAAACAATAACTTATTGCAAGTCTCAGCCATCTGTGTGACTGTAGATTCACATGAGCATCAGCATGCAGGTGTTGTTGCGTGCATCTTTCTTGCAGGCGGCTCTGCCTTTGGAACGTAGCACTTGCTTGGGATATAGCGTTGTTCAGATCCTGTGCATCGGACCCTCAGCTAGCAAAGTAACGATGTGTTGCTCGGGTGTTGCAATCACCCTTGCTAAAGAAGGAGGCTGTGACACACGCCCCAACCTGCAAGGGGAAAAATGCTTATTGGACGAAGGAAAAAACAGTTTGCTTCGGAAGAGATGGAGCTCTGTGAATTTGTCAGTTGGATGGGGTGGATAATGCAATATCTGCGAGTTGCCTTTGCTAACCTGAGACTGCTGCGCAAGGCCCGCCTTTACAACAAAGGATGATGGTTGGCTGGGACGGCATTTAACACCAGCCAGAAACAAATCTGAGCGAGTCCCACAGCAAGCCAGCAGTTCTCAGGGTCCAGGGAAGGTTTTTTAAAGTTTGACTGGCAGTTTGGCTTTCAGCTAAAAGTACTGGACATGACTCTGCCTTGAAGTGCTTCTCGGCTGTTGAGCTGGGTCGGTCGGTTCCGACAACCACACGGTTGCTCAGGGGAGACATTAGGAGCATCTAGCCCCCAGACAGACTCTCAGAACCCTGGATTGAGGTTTGGCGGCGTTCGGTTTCCTCACCAATTGCAAAACACTTGCTAGTGAAGTGGCAATGGCTCAGATTTCCGGGGAGTTGCTGTTGATCTCGGCGCAAAAGCCCCAGGCCTGGCACGACCCCCACAACAACGGCATCTACTCCTCGCTCGACAGCTCCGAGGGCCAGCTGAACTTTCAGCGCGCCTTTCGGCCAGAGCTGGGCTCCTTTCAGCAGTCAGTCAAAGCGAGGGTTCCCCTGAAAGGACTCCGGGGCTGTTGGGATGATACCACCTGGGCGCTTTTTGTTTTTTGGCTGTGTTTGTTTGTTTTGCTCCAGGCGGCTTTTAGGGGGAAACGATTGCGTGTGCGCTTCTTGTTTTTGTTGTGGCTTCTCTAACAGGGAATTGAAGATGCTTGGTGATTGTTTCTCTCTTGGTGTGACAAAGGGTGGATGTATAAGCATGATCTTTGGGAAAATCCAACTCAATGGTTGTTCCTCTTAGTAAGGTGATGTTTAATGATGTTGGGAACCCGGTATTTTCATTCACAGACTTTCCGGCGTGTCGAAAACGTGGCAAGAGTCGTGCAAAGCGTTGATGCGAACCGAACGCTAGGGGAGCCATGCCCAATTTGAGCCATTGCACAACCCGCACAACCCTTGCTTATACTTCTTGCCTCCGCCGATGTGAGGTGCAGTGTGGAACTCTGGTTTAGAGCCGCTCACGCTTACATCTCAGGACTGCCCAAGAGCGGCCCTTTGGTCTTTGCCATTGCCTAACGGACCCTGATTCTACTAAAGTTGCTCAATCCAGAGGCGTATGTGCAGCGCTTAGGTTCTTTCACAACTTGCTTGTGGGCGGTCCAGAGAAAACACCCTGGATATGCCCTTGAGGCCTTAGCAACGATTTGGGCGTGTGCTTTGGTGGTGGAAAACCCCGGTTGGGTGGGTTTAACGCCACGCCAAAAGGCAAACCTGCTTTTGAGGATTCCCTAACTTTGAGACACCCCCTTTGTATAATGTCTTCCCTCGTAAACACACCTGACAGTCCGCATGAATTGCGGAGAAAATATCATGAGGATTTGAGGCTTCATGAAGGGGTTGAGAAGACCATCACCTCAGAATCCCTTTCCATTTGTTCCCGCACCTTCAAGAGATTTGCGCCCATGTGTCGACGAACGGCCATACCAATCCTTGACTCCTGTTGGGTTGGATCTTTAGACTTTAATTTTGGAAAATCCAGGCGTTGTCCACTAACCCCCCAACAAGTTAAAAGCTTTTTGCACGGGGGGCGTTGCAGCAACCAAGACTCCCTTCGAACCAAGGTGACGGGGAACAAGAAGTACACCGACAAGCTCTCCTTCACTTTCACCGACAAGGGCGACACCTGCGAGATCTCCGGCTGCTCCGCGAGCCAGGCAGACGCATGCTTTTCTCCAACGAAGCGAGCTGGGGGTTTCAGGGGGTCACGCGGCGCTTTGTTTACAGGGGGACATGTGTTTTTTTGTTGAGTCAATCTTCTTTGCGTTGCCTTGTGAACATTACAAAGCGACCTATATAATATCCAGAACCCCGTTTCAACCCTACCAGCGGCTTGGGTATGCTGTTCCATTCCGGACCCACCCCGTTTTACGATAGAGTTTGAAATTTAAACGTGTTTTTTGCAGGGTCAATCTCATAGTCGTTTTCTATCGATTGGCCTCGAGGCCCAAAAAAATTAGTTTTTAGGTGGCGAGAGCGAGGTGAGCATTACCTTCGCCCCTCAGCGCGAGTGGCTTTTCAAGCCCAGAGGGGTCAACTGAGTCGCCTCACTACCCGGGTAAATGGGGGTAATTAACCCCTTTCCATACATGGGCGCGGGTCTCCGCCTTTTGAATTGTTTGCATGGTTCTGGGGATTGACCATTTTAATACCAGGTTTTGATTATGACTCCACTGGCTCGAGCCAATTCTTTGAGGATCTCTGTCCTGTTTTTCGGGGTCTCAGCCAAAACTATGTAATATGTCAGGCTAGACTAAATAGAATCAGAATCAGGCAATACCTTTTGCAATCCAGCTGTAGATCACGATAGGCTGTCTAAGCCTGGATCTAGGCTAACTTTGAGTACATCCGATGCCAGGTTTCACTTAATCATGCGCGTATCTCAGCTATAAACTTGACCAGTGATGGTGTCTTCCTTTTAAAGGAGGCCTTGTAGACCAGGCTGGATCCATTTATTCCCCAGTTCTGGTTCTCTGGCTGATGGATGGAACCCCCTTACGCGTGGCATTGTTGTCAAGAACACCACGGGAGAATCAAAGGAAGACCTGAACATCCACAACCTCAGGAAACCCGAAGGAATGCGTAAGACAAAGCGGGAGAACAGCCCCAGCAACCAGATCAGCGATGTGTCTTGTCTAGCACATAACTTGCAGCTGCATTAGTTCAAGACGTGCCACCGAAAGTAGTCTGACTGGAGCTCTCGCCAAGTCCATTCAAGAGAAAAACAGAAAAAACAAAACACAGCAGACTCAAGGCATTTGATTTCGAGGTTCAGATTGCGTTCTGCAGAACTATTCGCCATGGCTACTGCCACTGTGACGGTGATCGGAGCCGACGCTTGGCAAAGTGCGTCTTTTTGCAAGGCAAAGTTTGCGCGGATACTCGTGTGGTTGTTGGTACACTGGGTGGCTCCCAGCCATCCCCTTAGCTTTTAGCCTTTTAGTGTTTAGTGGAAGTTTCCGTATTTAACCCACTAAAAGTTAAACTTTTAGCGGGGGATCTGAGGGCAGCCCAGTACAGTTTAGGCTGAATAACAGTTTGACCAGTGATTTGAGTTCAACCTGTTGGTGCTGGTTTACGTGTCAAAAGTCAGCTCCCTGAATGTGTTTTTTTCCGTGCACACTGAGGGGAAGCCTTCTTCTGGCTTCCATTTGGTTAAGAATATTTTTTTATTTTCCCCTGATGATTTAAGGGAATCTATCAGTACTGGACATATGTTCTCAGTTTTTCCAGGGGGCTTCAGCAAATGGTGGCTGGCAAACGCCCATTGGTACCTCGGCTTTCCGAGGAGTCGGTCCAGCTCTCGAACCCTGACCGAAGCCCGGAGAACGAATGCGCAAAGTTGTCCGCCATCCCAGATGCAGAGACTCGGCTGGATCTGGCTGTGGTTGTCAAAACCAATGGTACCATTTTGGGGTGGGTGCACCACCCACTTTAGAACCTATTTTTGTGGGGATTGGGATGTTCACTGGGGGTACGGGCTTTTGACCCCTGTCCATCTGAGCTGGCAAGAGCTTCGCGGATTATTTTTTTGCTTGACGTCCTTATATTGGCACGTGAAGTGGGTTCAAACATCGCCTTTTGAATTTTGGGGCCCTGTAAGGTGAGTTTTCCTTTGGTGGGGGTTGTTTCAAGGAGAAATATGGAACTCTGTTGTACCTTTTCGGTCTTGGAGGTCATGTATGTGTCCAAGCAGGGATTTGGACTGGGACTCAAAAATGATGGTCGTCCTTTTGGTGTCCCTTGCAAATAAACTGAAAAGTACCCTCAAAACACGAACAAGTACAAACACAGACAGCTACACAGATATTTTGTATATGCATGTTGTTTGGTTGGACCCCTTGATGGACTACCATTTAGACTTCCCGTCCGTTGCACAGAGGAGAAGATGCCGGCCTTCAAATCTCTAGCACTGATGATGTGCCTTGCTCGCATTTGGCTTTTCCACCTGCCACTTCAGTGCGACAGGTCGCAGTGGACGAAGCCCACTTTGCACCAGTCGTTGGGGGGTTTCTCCCGCCATGTATGGAGCTTTGACCCCACAACAGGTACCCTTAAGAAACAGAGATATGCTTCGTGGCTCTTTGGTTCAATCCGATCGAGCATACCCGTCAAAAAGTGGCTTGCCTTGGAACAATGGCCTTTTTTCGGAGGGGGTACTTGGTTCAACCACCAAAAAGCTGTTTGTTCCCCCCCTCTTTTTTTTTTCTCGTGGCTCTTTGGTTCAATGAGGTCGAAAATACTCTTCAAAAAGTGGCTTGCGTTGGAGCAAATGTGTGTTTTCTTGGTTCGACCACACAAAAAAGAAAACACCTCCCGGATTTTTGTTCCAGGATGCCGATCCGAGGTACTTCGCCGCGCTGAGCTCCATCAACCTGGTGATCACCATCCCCACGGCGCACGACTACGCGGACCGCCTGGGGGCCGGCGACCTCTTCGCCGGGCTCATGCGCCGCGGCGTCGGAGCGTCGGAGCGGGTCGTCGGGGGGGAGCGGTGGGAGCGGTGGGAGCCTTTTTTGGTGGAAAGTGAGGAGCCCGGGAAAAACACGCCGTGTGCTTGGTCCTTTTTTCGTTTTTGTGGAAGACCTGGTGCTGCTGGAAACGACTCTGCCGCGCGAATAGTTCCTGGATCTTCGCTGGTGGAGCAAAACGGCACCAACCCGAGATGGTGTTCCCTCTTCTTTTGAATCATGTGTCAAGTCAGGCAATTATTGGGTGGCGGTTTGGATTGGTGATTTGGGGATTCAACTCTTTGGTGTTTGTAGAGGGTAACTGGGAAACCATCCCGGAACACCACTACACCGGCGCGCCTCCAAATTACCGGCCTTGGGAAGCTGTCATCACCGGACAGGTTTGAGGATTCCACGGGCTTATAATTGTCCGAGCAACATGCCGTTACTCCGTGCCATTGCAAGGCCATCATCTAAATTCGGTCAAGAATTCTTTTCATGGGGGGTTGAAGCCCAGGGACTGCCGAGGTCTTTTCTAGGTCCCCCAGTAGTGCCCTTTTACCCTTTTTGGGGGAGGCTTCCCCTACTAAAATAGACTATACAGAAAAGAGTTGGTACCCTTATTCTAACCTCTGTACTGGAGGACCTAGTTTTTATGGGGGGTTGAACCCTGGGGACCTGTTTCGTTCGGGGAGAACCGAGGATCGGGCTGGTGCCGCTGTGCTCCATCATCGGGTCAGTGGCGAACACACGGCTGCTGAGCTTTCTGCCCATGAAGACCGTTTGGGTCGTCCTCTGCCTGGGCAACGTGCTCGGCGCCTGGGTTCCAAAGCCGATGCCCAGCTAAAAGGTCCAGTTGCCTTGGCTTGGATCTGCAGCCCAAGCAGGAAACACCCTGGGGTTCGAACTAGTAACGCGGGTTCTTGGCGTTAATCCGCCATGCTCCCCCCGAGAGAAAGCGCCAATTCCAGCCCTTGCAGTAGGATGGGGGCCACTCTGAGACTTCCATGTCTCCATTTCTGGGGACTGCGACTGTGCCAACTTTGGCTGTTTCCAGAGTCAAAGTCAGAAGCCACGCCTCTAGCCATCCTCTAGCCAACTTGGGACGTGACTTGGGTGAAGCAATGGGCCCAGCAGCCATGAAAAATGAAACAAGCCAACAACTATCTGAAAGAGATCCGCCGCACCTGCCAAACAGCCACCCACAAAAGCCGTGCGCCAGCTTGTGTGCTGAACTTGCGGGTGTTTGACGAGGGTTTGCAGAAAGTAAGAGTGTCCCAACAAAAGGACATGGTGCATGGGCAATCCAGGCATGCTCAAAAAAGAGTTTTTGGAGACTACTTACTGGCTCAGCGTGAAAGCGGCTTTAGCGTTCTAGTCTTAGCGCGGCGGGAACGCGGCGATTTGTGCGATTGCGATTTGCGATTTCTGCGAGCCCAAGGTGAATCGCAGCGATTTGGGGAATAGTAGTTAGTTTCAGGGGCATATGTGCTAAGCTTGGTTGGATATGGTTGGGTGTCGAAGCAGAAAACGATTTTCATCAGCTCAGGGTAAGGCAAAATGGGTTTGGGAGCGATGTTTGCTTTTGTGGTTGTGGTTTGGCTGGGTAGACAGAGAGGCAGCAGGTGCGGCAAGGCTCTAGAAACGATTTTCGTCTGGGGAAAATAGGTTTGGGAGTGTTCCGATGTCTGCAATAGTTGCAGGCCGAAGCAGCGATTCAGAGGGCGACTGAGAATCGAGGAAGATCCTTCAGACGCAAAAGCTTGTGGCTTCAGATATCACTTTTGGCCCGTTCCCGTGCAGAGAAAGCAAGGCAATGTCAAAACCAATGCTTTCTGCGTTTCGCAATGAGAGCCCCTAAGCAGCGATTCAAAGCTAGCGATTTCCCATCGCTGCATTTGCGATTCCCTGCTTTTAACCCACAGCGATTTGAAAACGCAGTGATTTGCGATTGCGAGTTTGCCTCGCTAAGGTTCTAGTGCAAAGCTTTGCCCAGGATTGCATTGTCAATTGGTGTCACACCTGGGATGCTAGGCTCGGAGCTGGGTCCTATCAATGTCACTTGTTCTTCAACGTCACTACGTCACCCAACTTGGGCTGACATCAAGAGGAAGATACATGGGGCCAGACTGCTGCAGTTTCCGACTGGTTCAAGTTGCTCGCCCTGCGGGGCCTATCAGGGCCCGGGCTGTTCGGAGGTGGAACCCATGCTGCGTTGCCGTACCTAGCCCCTCGCAAAAGAGGAACAGGTTCTTCTGCAGGGGTATTGCCCCCTTCCATGTTCAGTGTGCAGCATCCAGAGAACCACGCTGCACGTGATTCTTTTTCGGAGGTCTGGACAGATTCACGCACGTCTGGGCGAGTCGAGGCTGCATCCTCTACGCGCTGGCGGGCTTGATGCGCTTCAAGTGGACCTTGCTCGGGGCGCGAGGTGCCTACCCGCTGTGCTATGAACATGGCCCCACTGAAGGGTGGAGACTCCAGGTGTAAGCCGTCCCTTTGAGACTTTAAAAGTTCCTCTGAAGGGGATCTATCAGAATGACTCAAGGAAAACTTAAACCCTTTGTGCCTTGGCAACGCGTAAAGAATCTGGGACCGTTTGTGGGTGACGCGCCGAATAGGTTCCAACAAATGGGTCGTAGTGGCAATTCCCACAATCCGCTGCAGTAATTACTCTGTCACATCCTCATGGGTCTTTTGAGGGTACCCCTTTTTGGTTAGTTTTAAAGAGAAACCGAGAGGAATTGGGGGGACCACCAACCACCAACCAACCACTTGGTGGCTCCCAGCCATCCCCTCAGTGTTCAGTGGTAGTTTCCATTTCACCCACTAAAAGTTAGTCACTTTTTTCGTGGGGGATCTGAGGGCAGCAACCAACCAGAAAGAGCTTGCCTCAGGCCTCATGGGCCTTTGCAGCGCCTTCAACATCCCGGGCCTCTACATCTCTCTGACTGTGGGCACGAAGCGGCGCAGTGAGGCGGGGGGGGTGGCCACCCCCCGCGTAGAAGGAGTATATAGGGGTAGCATATTTGGGGGCACGTGCACAGGAGCACACAAGGTAGTTATATGCATATATATATATATGTAAATTCTGTAGAGATTCCTTGAACTGTCATCTCTCAGACCTCAGTTTCACCCATGGCAAGGGGCGTTGGTCGATGACATCAAAGCCGACTTCAATAATTTATTTCGAAGAAGCTACTTGTGTGGGTCAGTTTAATGCTTTGGTGAAATGACGCCTCAATCATCCTTCTTTACCTGCACCCTATCAATTGATGGCATCACTTTCTAGAGGTGGTTCAACCTGCTGGTTTGCACACGACCCCTATCAAGGTGTTACTTTCTGGACACATCGGGCAGGTCTTGGCTTGGTAGTTGTATCAGGGTTAGTGTCTAGGGAAGTGAGATGGTCTTGAAATGTCTTGAAGGGGAACCCAAAGGAAACTCGCAGCACAAATGAAGCTTTGGACGCTCTGATTGCGTTTGCTTCCCTTGACCAATAGGTGAAGGAGCCTGAAGTTATCATGTTGCTGCTGACTAAAGCGAGCAACTCGCAGCTGCTTGGCCTTTAACGGGACCCGACAGGTCACTTCCGTTCTTTGTGGTTTCGCCACATAGATCTGCCTATATATATTTTTCGGCGAGCTGGGGTAAAACATGCGAAGACCGAATCATGAAGGTAGAGTCCTTCACTTGCACTTGGGGATCCGTTTCTTATTTCAGATCTTTCGGAATATCAATTTTGCAGATTGTCTTCAAGCAGCTCGGCAGCCCTTGGATAGTTTCAAAGGAAAGAGCCAACATGAAACCATGGATCGGGTAACCCTTAGGTTTGGATTGGTTTGGGTTGCATTGGGGATTCGAGCACCTGGATCTTAGATTTCTGGGAAACCACCCAACCTCCACACCTCCAAACCAGGGCAGAGGCACCGCAAATTGGAGTCGGAAGCGGAAAGTTTGAGCACCTTTATCTTGTGGGTAAATGGGAATCGACTCAACCTCCACACCTCCAAGCCACAGCACCCCAACAAGTTGAGTCGGAAGCGGAGAATGAGGCGGAAAGAATTCGGATGTCTTTTGCGGGTGCCAGGTGCTCTTCTACTACTCGGCCTGGCTCACCTTGGGCTGCGCCGCTGGCCCGGCCTTGGCCGCCCTCCTGGAGGCCAGGTAGTTCAGCGCGAGTGGCGCGAGTGGATCATATGACTCGGAGCCCCTGGATCCGATGATCTTGTCGGCTTCCCTGGATTCCCTGTTTGGGCCACAATTTTGGTTGGGCCTTGGCAATGGGATGAAGCCTCAAAGATGGAACTAGCTCTTCAGTTGGTTGGTTTTGCGCGATTTTTTTGTTTGGTGGCTCGAAATGCAGCGACCGCAAAGAAAGGAAATGGCCCCGTTTCTGCCAGACAACTGGGAAGCCAACCAAAGCTGGAGGCATTGACACGAGAGGCGGAAGTCCTCCCTTGAAAGAAGACTAACTAGGTCCCCCAGCTAGGTGCCCTTCTCTACCAACTTTTTTTTGGGGAGGGTCCCCCCTACTAGAATAGACTACACAAAGAATGAGGGTACCCTTGTTCTAACCTCTCCACTGGAGGACCTAGCTAAAAAGGGAAGCCGCTTTGCCTGTGGGGGGGGGGGGGGGGGGCTAAACAGAAACTAGCCGCCTAAAGGAGTCCTTTAGGCATGCTTGGGCCAGCCACGGTACCCCCAAAACGCTCCGTGTGTTTGTTGGCCAGTGGTCCAGCTGACGGTGACGTCTGCTCATGGCCTCGATTTCAATAAGTTGGATCGGGAGTCCAAACGTATGTCCCTCTGTGAAAGGATTAAACATGGCAGCTTCATGAGTTTTGCCTTACATGTCCGGGGTTTCCTGCAATGTGTGGACGGGAAACATTGCACTCAGAAAGGTGAGCGACTCCACTCGGGGTAAAAGGTGCTCGTTAGGATGCCTTGCGACGGGATTGGTTCGTTCGCGTCGCCTGAAGGACAACCGGTTCTCACTGAAGACAGACAAGCGAGCAGCTGGTGATTCATAGTAGCTAGTGCCTTCCTGCTATGGATGCTTCCAAAAATCAGGGGCACCACTCAAAATGTGGTTGCTTTCAAACACAAAGGCGTGAGGGCGGCTCGTTGCTTATGCTTTCTTTCCAGATATACCCATCAACAAGGTTCCAGGCGTTTTGGTCATCTATAACCAGACCTCCAGCGCATGTTCATGTTGTTCGATGGGTTCCCTCCCGTTCCCCTTTGAACCAAAAAGCCTTTAGCCATGGAAATTTGAGAGCACAATCTTTACGTCAGGCGCTTGTTTCTCCCATGGCATTGGTGTCCACAGCGGAAGGGCATACCCGATAATTCCTGGGGAGTGAGCCATGGCGGATTTTAAAGAGCAAGTCGTACCGAAGGGAGGCATGTTTTGGACATAGCAATACCTCACCCCTATTTCGCACCATCAAAACCCAGGTATGTGCAAGTTAGCAAGGGTTTGTCCACTCAGAAATATGTCCGCCCGCCTTTAGAGATTTGGATAGACCCTTTACTGCCAGGTGTTGATTGTGACTCAAGCGACTGACACATGGTGTTGGTTGCTTCATTTTATTGGACTCTCTTTTGAATCGGTCTTGCCTGATAGGTGTCGCCGAATGTGGGTCATAATCAAACATGTAGGTGTTTGCGGGCTGGGGTAGTTTGATGTATTCCATTAGTTGCTTGCCAGAGCATTTCCGGACTCTCTCCTTCCCCAGTTTTGGATTTCTTCCTCTGGCAGAGAACTGGAAGCCAAGCCCCGGTTGGGCTGGTTCAAAACACGCCAGATTTGGCTGAAAGGGATCTGCCATGATCCGCTCTTTTTTTTCTCCGTGTCTTGGTACGGTGGAACTTCTCTCAGTTTGGGGAGCCGACCCTTTTCGCCCCCCCCCCGTTTTTCCCCGCGCCTCTCAGAGGGTTTTCAGCCGGCCAAAGAACCGAAGGATACACATGTTCTTTTCCGGAGTCAGGTGTCCTTGGGTTCCAAGCGCTGGGGATGCGCAGCCAGGTCTTCATGAAGTTTACGAAGATCAACAACCTGGTGCTGGACTCTGACACCATCCCCGGGTGGTTCATGGCGGTCGTGTACCTCTTCTTCTCCGCTGCTCGGATTAGAATAGGTCCCCCAGCTATACCCTTCTCTACCGTTTCTTTTTTGGTTGGGAGGGTTACCCTACTACAATAGACTACACAGAAAAAGAATCGGGTACCCTTATTCTAGCCTCTCTACTGGAGGACCTAGTAGATGTCTTGGAACTTCGTCATGGGGGTTGATTAAAAGGTCCGTGATGCATGGGGTGACCATTGGGGAAACACCCAACAAAGATGACATTCACCGCTAAATGGGAAGAGTTGCCCATGCCATGTTTGGGGCCAGGAGTATTGATCCACCCCGACACATAGGTGCGCTTTGTGTTTAATGAAGTTGGCAAACGGTGCACCCAAAGGCAAACTGCCATCTTCGGGGCTCCCACGTTTTGACACATACCCAAACGACTCGGCAGCCCAACAAAATGAAGCATATCCTTCAGTCAAGTGCGCATGCATTCACAAGGTCTGTATCACTTTGTGTGACATGGGCCAGCACTAGTGTTTATGGTCTTGGGTCGCCTGCTCTCATTCTGGGCCAAGTTGTGTTTTTGTCGATTTGCCCCGTTTCTCAGGGCTCACCATGGCCCCCGGGAGGGACACCTAAATGAGTGTGTCTCAAAGTAGGTGACCGGTGACCCCTCTTCGCATGGTTTCAAAGGGAGACCCAAAAGGAACCCAACCGAATTTTCGGAAGTACCCAAATGAGTGTATGCACGTTTCAACCGGCAACTCGCCATGGCAACCACCGGCCTCGAAGTCCCAAACAACTCTCCACGCTGAACTACGTCCCCCAGCTAGGTGCCCTTTTGCATTTTTTGGGGGGGAGGGTTCCCCTACTAAAATAGACTACCGGAAAAAGAAAGGTTCCCCTACTAGAATAGACTACAGAAGAAACACAAACTCGGGCGCCCTTATGCTAGTTCCTCTCAAGTCTGGGGGACCTAGTGAAGACTTCTGCCGAGGTCAAGGTGCTCATCTTCTTAGAAGAGCCCACCAGTCTCCGAGGCCCCGAGGCGGCGGAGCCGCCCGGACGAAACGAGCACTTGGCTCACGTAGGGTTCGCCCATGTCTGCCCGTTTTGGAAGGTACTCCACGCATTTGTTGGTTTTAACAGGGAGACCAAGAGGGCCACAGTTGCGCCATTTTGGGGGCCACCCATTTAAACAACGAAGAGATGTGAACCTCTCTTTCTCGCCCACAGTTGCAACAAGAAATAGATGGCAGACTCGCCCATTTGGGCGCAGTCATGCTGTTTGGGGAATTGGTGCCATCTACTGAACCCGAAGGAACCCACTGGTGAACTCCTTTGGAGATGCCTTGAGACGATGGAGGGCTTGCTCCACCGTGCCAAGAGGGCCCCCCAAAAGCGCGGGCCAATGCCCTTGTTCCCGCCGATCTGGTGCCCAAAGAAGTGCTCTCCGAGACCTAACTATGTCTTCCCGTTGAGCGTCGTTGCTTTTCTCCGCCTTCCAGGGTATTTTTGGCTGCTTGGGGTCTATGCTGCATGTGTCTGCGATGTCCAGCGTATTGAATGAAAAGCTGAGGCCGGTGCGCCGGATTCCGCTGAGCTGGCAGCAGTTGGCGGCCTGCTGCGCTTGCTTTTGGCACCTTAGCGTGGGCTCCTTGAGCCGCAGGCGTCAATGAACGGTTTTTGGTGACTCGTGGATAGTTCCAAGCACGGGTTTTTAAGCAAGGGGTTCTAGTGGATAGTGGTTTCTACGGTTTGAAATGATTGGTTTACAAGCAAGGGGATACAAGCAAGGGTTTTGACTATCCAGACACGGTTGCTTCTGACTGTTCCCTTTTCTTTTTCTGCAGGGGGAAACCCCACATGAATATCAAGTGCCAAACAGCAGTGCCCGATGTTTTTCTATGGAATTCCACTGAGAGTCTGGTATTTGGTAGAACCAAGCGCTCCAAGAGGTTTTCCACCGGACCCAAATCACTACCAGGTCGGAAAATAGTTGGTATGTCGCTGCTGTGCCGACCTTTTCGTGTTGCCATGGGTTCACAGTTGCTTTTTGCCAGCTGTCCCTTGGGTTGCGAAAGGGTTGATATCAACCGTACTGTACCATGGTCGTTGTTCTGTGTAGGTTTTCCAAGGAAACCAGTGTTTTCATTGGGATTAATTTCAAACCACCCTAGATAAGATGGTTGGAAATCGCTGGTGTGAGCAGGTTTTGTTTGACACAATTCGGGATGTGTCCCCTAGTTTGAGGACATCCCCATTTGGATGCCCTGGAACCGGTGCTAAGCTGAGCGTGCTCACGTTTTCCGAGGCGCTGCAGTGAACACTGGGGTGGAGGTGTATGCGGTGAGCGTGCTGCAGCAGGTTTTAGGCGCTCTGCCCGCCACATGTCATCATGCGCCATCCGTGCAGCCCATAATGAATTTTGCCAAATAGACGGCAAACGGGGATGGACATGTTTTGTTGGTATTGTTCCCAGACCCCCCATTTAACTCCCATAGAAAACAGACCCCTACTTGGGGTCAGTAGAAATATTTGTGGACCCTTTAGGGACTTTGCACAGTCTTTGTAAGGGTTCCTATCAAGGGAACCATGCCCCATGACCCACCAGGAGCTTTGACCATGGCACCCATGAATGCATGGCCACCTGGCGAACGCAAGGAGCTTCCTTTGGATGGATGCTTGCCGAGGGTTTGTTCTCTTCAGCTGCAGAGCAAGTTGTGCACGTTTGTTTTGGAGGTAGTTTCATTTTATAGATTGTGTTTGTTGCTTTGCAGGGTCCTTTAGCTTCTGGCACATGATTTGGAGCTTCTTGCCTTTATCATGGAGAATTATGTTGCTACAAGCTGTGTAGCATGGCCATGTCAAACAACGATCAACCACGCTGATGTGCACACCAATTTTACAAGTGTCATGCTCATGGCAGCCGCATTTGAGCAAACACATCACATGAATTCGTAGCGGCACGTGGAACGTTTGCTGCTTTCTGAGGCAAGCAGTTTGCGGGTGGGAAACAAGGGAAAAGCACCCAGCCTGAGTGCTTTCCCAAGTGGCAATCAGGTTTAATGGGGGACGAGCTAAAGCCTGGTAGACATAGATCCCAATGTCAATGATAACATTCATACCCACACGTGTATATACATGTGCATACACATATTAAATATGTATACAGTATACATGATGTGTAAACCGTATGCATATGTTACTTAGTAGACATATATATATATAGTATAGCTATGTTCTAGCATGCCACTGTATGCGTGTGGAGGTTGGAACATCTCAGCGAGCGCTTTGTTCGTGGCCGGGCTCATGCTGATCTGCGGAGTGTTCAACCTCAGCGGCTCGGTCGGAGGGCCGTTTCTCGAAGAAGCTCCTCCCACAGCATGCCGTGGTTCCTTTTCAGGATGGATTTGGATGGCTGCAAGGGGTCGAAGCACCTCCTAGAAGCTACTTCGACCATCACTTAGGGGTCTTGGCCAGGGAACAAGGATTTTATCAAGGGCCGCCAGCTGGTCAGCACAAGCCATGGGCCTCGCTTCCCAGGAAGGACGGATGGGCTGCGCATGAAACCACTGGATCCGAGCAAAAGTGCAACGAGCTCACCTGAGGACACGAGGTGAAGGCTTCTTCCTGTTCTGGCGCTCAATGAAGCGGTTGCTCCCAAGGATTCCAAGCTTAGCTCGCAAAAGGTCCTTGGTTTCATTGGCCGCAACCTTTGATTGACACCTGCGTCTTGATCACTACACACGCAAATACAAAAATACATGTACATTTATGTATACATATGCACCTACAACTACACATACATACTTGGATTCCTCTTCTCCACTGTGAGCCGTTTGCCCACACTGGACCCTTTTGGCGCGCCACGCCCGCTCGGCTTAGGCCTGGGGCGGCTGCTGCGGTTGGTGCCCTGCAGCGACAGCAAGGGCCTTGTGGTGGGGGATGCCTTGGCCTGCCTCGCCTGTGTGATGCTCTTCAACTTCGACGTGCGGCTTCGGCTTCGGAGAGATGGATTTGGTGAGCATGTTGACCGCGGATCAAGAAACTGCTGGTCAAAAATGGGGGTGTTCCCCTCCAAAAGTGAAGAATCCCCACTCTAAAACCGGGACGCCCCCCTAATAATTAATAAACAGGGGTTGATTGATCCGGGGTCAACATTAAGCGGAAATGGTCGACAGCGAGGTGTGCCACAACCTCAGTGTTTTGGTGAGTTGTGGCTAGGTCCCCCAGTCAGTAGTGCCCTTTTACCAACTTTTTTCGGGGGGAGGGTCCCAAGGTAGACTACAGAAAAAGAAATGGGTACCCTTATTCTAACCTCCAAAACTGGAGGACCTAGATGGATTCTTTATCAGATCGGATCCCTGCATCCCTCGGGAGGGCTGAAAGGCAAACGGATATTTGGGAAAAACCCGCAGTTCCCTTCAATTCAAGAAGCTCACTGATTCGAGCAAAGCTCACGGCTAAACCGGCCCGTTTCCTTTTTGGGAACCTCGAGTGGCTGTTTCACTTGGACACCGGTAAACTGCAGCTTTTCACCGGGAAATCCAGCGACCCCTGGGGCTCTTTCTTCAGGGTGGCGAGCTATAACAACTTAGTGCCGAGGCCTGGCCCTTTATCCGTCCCTTGGCGTTGCGAAAGGCGATGCGTGACGAATCGAGAAAAGATTGCCTTACTTCCCAGTCCAATTTGTTGGGAAGACCATCTTAGTGGTAAACCAACACTTCAAGTGTTATTGGCCAATCGACTTCCACTTCTATGCATGTGGATGTATCAAGATGTATTTTTCCTCAGGAAGTGCCGTGCCCTTGCGTTGCAATTGCCACACCTCCGCTCTCCGCTGAGCCGAGTCGGGGGTCGATGTGGGCTGAGGCATGCTGTGACGGCGCAGATCTCGCTGATGGGCATCTTGGCCTCGACCTTTGGAAGTGTTTGAATTTTTGGTGGTGGGTTCGGGGGGTCGGGGTGGGGGTGGGGGGGTGGAGGGCTGGAGTGGGTCCAGTTCAATCAAGTGCTTCTATTTGGTCCATGTTCAAACAACTGCTTCTATTTGGTCCATGTTCAAACAAGTGCTTCTAGTTAGTCGTAGGTTTCCAGGGCGTCCTGTCACGTGAGTCACCCAAAAACCGCAGACCGTTGCGAGGCCTCGGCCTGCTGGCGGTGCTGATCTTCGCCAACCTGGTCCGCGCCTTCGCCCTGAGCATCGCCACCAAGGCGTGCCGGGTCGAATCGGTTCCTTCGGTTTGTAGCTTTTTGGTTGGTTTTAGTGGTAAACTACCACTAGACCCACGAAAAGTCAAGCTAGCAGGCGATCTGAGGAGGAAAGGTGGTCGTTTTTGAACGCGTGTTTTGGCTCGTTTTTGAACGCGTGTTTTGGCTCGTTTTTGAACGCGGTTTTCCTCAAGTGTATGTGATTTACAGCAGCACGGCCATTTTTCCAAGTGTCCATGCACACCACGATGAGGCGCACGAACACGCACCACGATGCACGTGTAGCACATGGATGGCGCCGTGCTTTTGGGAGACAATCGTCAACTGTAGACCAACATCGTCATCATCACTACCAGCAACATCACCTTCATCCACATCAACACCAACATCATCATCGCCATCATCAACATCACCACCAACATCCATATCATCATCATCATCATCATCATCAACAACACCATCAACATGACCATCATCACCATCATTATCACCTTCATCATCATCAACAACATCAACATCGTCAACATTGTCAACATCGTCAACATCAACATCATCATCATTAACAACATCATCACCATTATCAACATCAACGTCGACATCACCATCATCATCAACAACATCATCAGCATCATCAACATCGTCATCATCATCATCATCATCATCATCATCATCATCATCATCATCATGACCATCATCAACACCGTCATCATCACTACCGACAACACCACCATCACCACCAGCGCGCAGTCGCACGGTCACGCAGTAAGAGGCGAACGTAACTGCCCCACCCCATCCCCCCCCCCCAGCCGCAGGACGCAGTCGCACGGTCAGGCAGCAAGAAGCAAACGCAACTGCCCCACCCCACCCCCCACCCAGCCCCAATACGCAGTTGCGCCGCCACGCAGTAAGCGGCGATCGCAATTCCAGGAGGCTCCGATTCGCAAGTTACTTAGGCCGTATGAGCTAAGGATGTTTTTGTGTCGAGGACAAGATAACTCAGAGCTTGAAATTTCACGAGTTTTCACGGCTTTTTCACGGAGTAGTAACGGCCTTTCAGTTTCCCGCGCGAGTTATTACGGCCGTTAGGCCGAGTTTTCAAGGCTTTACGGGGGCCAACGAGCGCAATATGCAGCTCCACCGTCACGCAGTCAGCAGCGATCGCAATTACCCCCTTCCCCCAGCCACAGGATGCAGTCGCGCGGTCACGCAGTAAGAGGCGAACGGAACTGCCCCACCCCACCCCCACCCCCACCCCCAGGACGCAGTGGCACGGTCGCGCAGCAAGAGGCAAACGTAACTGCCCCACCTGCCGCAGGATAGCCCCCCATGTGTTCGAAAATGACCCACTCTGTGTTCGAAAATGATCCAGGACATCGGTGTTCGAAAATGATCCAAAATCGGTGTTCGAAAATGATCCCCCTCCCATCTGAGGACAGCCCAGGTTTGAGAAGACCATTTGAGCGTAGACTGTTGCTTTTCGACCTTTTTTGCCACTCACGACTCAGGAAGTGAGTTGGGCAAATCTGGCTGCAAACCAGCCAAGGGGAGTCAAACATGTTTGAAGAGGGGGTTTGTCCAACCCTGCCGACTTTCCACTGTTCTTGGCATGTGTGTTGATCTTGGATGGGGCAAAACTCATAATGTGTTGTTGTATTCCCCTCGTATGGTCCTCAGACCCCCGAAGAGGACCAAAGCGAGCTGCATCGATGGATTGGAGCGCTCCGAAACAGGCGGATGGATCAAGGACGCTCACTCACATGTAACCGAGGGAATCCTCGAAAAAAACGCAAGCAGACAATCCGTGGTGAGTTATTGAACGGGGATCCCCTGACTTTGAGCAAAGGCCAAAGTTTCTGCTCAAGTGGGCGCAGCTCAGTGCGAGCGCATGGGATCTCGTAGGATGATGGCTGGGAGCATGGCTCATGTCTCAGTGTCGTCGGCAGAAAACTCCCCAAGCGAAACGCGGCTGGCCGGAGTACCTACGCACAGCTTCTGTGGAGGAATTAGCTATGCACGTATTTTATAGAATGCTAAGACCCGCAGACTGGGGGGTGCCGAATCTGCCCCAGAGGGTGTGTTGATAAGCTTGGTTCGTTTTTAAGGGATGAACATCTCAGAGAAGTACAAGAGATGCTGTTCATGTCACTATGTTGCACAATAGCTGGATTTCCCTCGCTCGCAGGGACTCGAAGCGGGCTTCCAGGCCTCTTGTTGTTCCTTTTCTGGGAGGGTTTCGCGAGTGCAGTCTTTCTTCCTAGAACCCCTCTGCTGCGTAGGTGTCCTGTTTGGTTGATTTGGTTGAAAAATAGAGGGCGATTCCTGGTTGACCTGGTGGTTCAATCAACTACCAGGGAAACCCATCTATTTTCCCAAAAAGGACACCTATGGCCGGAAGGGTACGTCTGGAGGTTGTCACTTGAGCTGCCTTCTGAAGATTGCTAGTGTCATGCCAATCTCGGAGCTCGAAACCTGGACTCCGGACCAAGGAAGTCACAAGTTCCCCAAACCTTGGCCCAAGTTCCTACATGGCTTGGGCCTGAATTCGTAGACATGCATGTTTGATGTCGACAGTTCCCAACTAGGCCAGCTAGGTGAGGGTTCCCCTTTGACAATAGACTGCATGAAAAAAATATCGGGTACCCTTATTCTAAGCTCCAAAACTGGAGGACCTAGCCAATATTCATTTTAAAGAGGTCCGGACGTGCACCTCACACTTGGCCAGCTTCCTCACGGCCAGGTAGTTCCGCCCAGCGCCACCAAGGATCGAATCGATCGAAGAAGCTTCGGGGGCGAAAGTTGGGAGGTTCCTTTGGTTCCCCTTGAAAGATCAGACAGGCAAACTTGGCTCCTTGTGTTTCTACCACACCTTTTGGGGCGAAAGTTGGTCTTGGTTCAACTTGTGGTATATCTGGAGAGGTACAGCCATAGCCCTTGATCATGTCAGCAAAAAGGACCTCTTGGCTCCTTTTGTTTCCGTTTCCAGGGAGATTCCGAGCAACCTGTCCCGCGATCGGGTTTAATGGGAGGTAGTGGCTGATTGAAGATTTACCTTACTCGATCAAGTGTAAAGGAAATCAAATAACGTGTTTTCAAGATTTCGAAATCTAGTTCCGTTAAACAACTGGGAAAGCACTTATTGTGTAGGACATGCTCCTAGCACATCACACATCACATTTCATGGCTGTTCGTAATCAAATTTGGGTAAGACCCAAAACTGGTTGTTGTCCTTTCGGTTTCCATTTAAACCAATTGCAAGGTGAAAAGCCTTCTCTTGAAAATATAGACCTGTTTCAGCCACAGCTTCCTTGGTGGTTGTAGCAACGCAACAATGAACCCAGACATGTTCCTTGTCGTTTCTATGGCCCTACACAGCGCGTATCAAAGTTGCTTGTTTGTAAGCCAATTCGGTCTACATGTTCCCCTGACTGCTGAAGACAAGTCCAAACAGTTTATTTCAACAACTAGGAACACAACAAGTTGCCTGGTTGCATGCAACTTTTGTTGGCCTAACCGCCCCAAGTTTCCTGACTGTCCCAAAACAAAAACACAACGTCCTAAGTTATTTTAACCATACGGTTGTTTGTGTGATGTCCAACTTGGCCCAACTAAGATTTTGTTTGGTTCACAAGTGGCCCAAGCCTAAGGTCAGGTAACATCAGGTAACCCTGACCTTAGGTGGCTTGGGTTGGGATATCAATCCTTTGTTTCCTGAGGTCAAATGGGAGATCCCATACCAAACCACCAAACCACCAGTGCCCCAAACTTCAAAAAGGCCTGGGACCTGGGACCTGGACAAGAGCTCCGTGATGCATGGGGCGATTCGGGACAGACCGATCGCCCAAAATGACTTCCTCATGGGGCTAGGTGTCGTTCTGATCAGTGGTCTGATTGAGGACCTAGATGTTCAGGGAGGAAAAAAGGCCAAGGCCAGTGGTCTTGTAAACATTCATGCAAACAGTGAGACACTGTCCTGAATGTTGATCAACCCCTTCCCCAAAAAGAATGGCTGCCAGATGAAAAAACCGGAGTCCAACCAGAATGATCTCCCCTTTGGCTCACCCACATGGCTCACCCTTATTCCCTGCCTATCGCACCAGATAGAAAAAATGGTAAATGGATAGGTTCTAATGGAATTGGCTATACCCAACCTCAAAACTCCCCTCAAAAAGGGTACCCAAAGCCCTTTCGCCTTTCCCCCAAGCCTAAAACTGACTTAATTGGTGAATGGATAGTTTCTAGTGGATTTGGCGATACCCGACCCTCAAAACTCCCCCTAAACAACTTGGTTGCAACCGAACCGGCGGGGGAAAAGGCGAAACCCGCCCCTTATCTCACTCCCCCCCCCCTCATCAAACAAAAGTCTGGATTTTCTTGGTTGAAGAAAAAAGAAGAATACAAAAAAAAGAAAGCGCGGCGGGGAAAAACCGCGGCAGGCGGTGACCACCTGGGCGGCGCTGGCCATGTCTCTGGGCCGCGGCGCGGGGGCCGTGGTGGGCTCTGTGCTGCGCCTCGGCTCGGCTCGGAGGCCTCGGAGCGGAGCGGTGGGGTGGTGGGTTGGGTTTTTGTTTGGGGTCTGGCGAGTGGGTTACCGGGTTACCCGGCTCGGTGTTGTTTGCTTTGTTTGCTTTTTGTTGGGGTGGTTGGGTGACTGTTTCTCGGGGGTTGGGATGGGAGTGGTTTCATTCAAGTGGTCTGGAGGGGGTGTTTTTGGGGTTTGGGATTTGAGATGATGATGTTGGTTTGGGAGGTGATTTGGCTGGGGCCGAGGGGGGGGTCGTGGGGTTGGTTGGGGTGATGCGGACGGGGTGGTTTTTGATTGTTCTTGGCTAGGGTTTAATGTTAACTTCAGATCAATCCGGAGTAAATCAGAGGAGGTTCGCCTTTTAGTAGACCTATGCTTGAGGGTTCCTTTGACTAGTACAGTGCTCAAGACCTGGGTGACTTGGCTTGGGTGGGTGATTTAGCGGCATTCCTTGGACATGTCTTGGACATGTTGTTTCTTTGGGTGTAGGGTTTTTGGGTGGCCGTGTGCGGGTGGATTCATTGGGGTGGACTTAGCGTGATTCAGAGATTGCCCATGCTGTTTACAACGGGTGGATGTAGCATGTGCTGGCAGCTAGCATGGGTTTGTAGGCTTCTCGAAGGAAGGCAGGATGAGAAGTTGTTCCATCATTTTCCCAGCACAGATTTCGCTTGCCAGTGTGAATGTTCAGGATGCGAGCCCTGAAACTGCCAAGCGAAGTGCTCACATTGGTTGATGTATCCGATGATTGTGTCAATCAGCTGTGTTGCAAGCCTTGTCTGTCATTGACCCAGAAACTGTCTTTGGTTTGCGGTTTGCAGGATGTGAATTTCTCAAGCCCCGTAGATATATGGTTCATGGCTCATCTAAAGGTTGGGATCCGTTCGCTTTTCTGAGCGTTTCGATCTCCGAGGTTTTCCCGGCCAGCAACAGGTTTGGTCGGATGCTCACATGCTGTTTTCTTGCCATGTGTAGTGTTTACTTCATTCGCGTGTTGCGGATGATTCGACCAACCGGTTGTTTTGCCATCCTTGTGCCTTTCTGAATTTCCATTTTTTCCCCCAGAAAGCCCAAGCGATAGAATAGGTCCAAGTCTGGTCAAGAGACACGGATATCAAGTGCGGGTTGTTGCATCAAACAACCATGCTTGTGTGATGTGTAGGTCTTTCAGAGGCTGTTTGCTGTTATGTTTCAGGGACTAGTTTTGAGACTGGCAAGTTTCCGAAGATCCCACCCTCCCGTTTTCCGTGCTTCACCGAAATGAAATAAGACCTTCCAGGGTATATTTGGATTTTGGAGAGAAGAGAGGGCTGGGATTGAGCCAAGGAACGTCGACTCCTTCGCCCCTGCCCCGTGGCTGCGGGGGAAGCACTGGCTTTTCTGGGGGACGGAAAGCGTCCGGGAACTGAACAAACAGCCGGGAGAAGCGAAGCGACCGCCCGGAACCTGATTTTGAACATGAATCGACGCGTTTAACAATGAAGCACATGCGTGTTCCATTGACATCTCCATTCCCTAGACGACAATCATGAAATCCAGTCATGGCAAGGTACTTTAACTGCGCCGTGTGTATATATATATATATACATAGATGTATACGTATACAAGTGCCCCCGCCCCTTAGTCCTTCCGAACCCACAAACATAAGCGCTTTTGCTGTAGCCCTTTAACCATGACCCGCACGAAGAACCAAAGACAGGCGCCAAGGACAGCGAAGGAATTGGTCTGAAACCAACACTAACCTCCAGAAGAACCCATATTTGCAACAGCAACCTCGAGGAATCCGCAGACATGGTTGTGGACAAAAACGTGTAGCCACAAAGAACACTCTTAAGGTTTTGTTCCCATGACGTTGTCTATCTATCCGAAAGAACGCTTGGATATGCATGACAGATTTAACATCCAAGGTGCTGCTCTGCATGTTCATGGGATCATTGACGGTCGGGCTCGTAGCACGGAAGTACATGAAGACGGAGATCAAGGCGAGCTAGATTTCCCGAGAGAAAATTTGTTGGGTTCCTCAAAATGTGAGCCCCTGTGCCTCAAAGTGGGCATCTCGGTTTGGCAAACGGCGGACTTGTGCTGCTGCCTTTGAGCTTTTGCCATGCCACTTGGCAGCCACGTCCTTGGGACATCTTCAGACCTGCCTGCTAGCTGCAAGTGAATGCTTAGAGTGAGGAGAGGGGCTTGCGCTTTGGGTACTGCATACAATCGCTAAGCTCCATTTGCAAACATATATGGTGGTTTGTTGTTTCTTTTTGTTTTGGGGTTACGTACCGCGAGAACGTCCGTTCGAGACATCTAAGATGGAAGGAATCGGACCGAATCTGCGCCATTCACGTCGCTGGCCAAAGCTAGAGGCCAATTCAAAGTAATGACAGGCTAAGAGTAGACACTGCCCAATGGGTTCCACGTGTTCTAGGTCCCCCAGCAGTGCCCTTCTCCTCTTTTGGGGGAGGGTTCCCCTACTACAACAGACTACAGGAAAAAATGAGTACCCTTATTCTAACCTCTCTACTGGAGGACCTAGTGTTTGTTCCTCTATGTTTAGTAAGTTTCGCGCTAAATGGTCAACCCCAAAAAGAAGTGGTTCCCTTTTTGTACCAGGGTCACTGGGAAATTGGGGCAGGTATGCTGTAGATCAAGCACATTACGTTTTTGTTTCATCCTGACAAGCAGGCAGTATGTGAAACCTGGCATCCATTCTACTTCAGCTGGACATGTGCAGTGCTGCAGGCCATAGTTTATGCTAATCGCACGCCGCCGTTTTGTACAGAGAAGACGGCTGGCATGTTTTTCCTCCGACTCACCCATGTGGTCAAGGCGCCGTTGACTTGCTTCGCGTGCAGAAAATGTAAAAGACGGAATCGGCAGCACATTTGGCTTCCTGCCACAGGCGACGCCCCTCAACAGCTTTGCGAGGGCTTGCCAATTCCGCCTTCCTGCCTAGGCATGGACCACGCTAAGTTCCCGCACCAAAGGTGCAGATAACCACTGAACGAGCCATTTTGGTGGGGGGCCCTTTCTATGCTTCTTTTTCTTTTTGAGGGTACCTTCTCTTGGCAGGCGTTGATTGAAAAGGAGACCAAATAGAACAGGAGACAAGCTGAATCTTGTGCATTTGCACACAAGCCACCAATACCCATGAGAGCGCCATTAGTGCAGGGGGAAGTCTTCTGGAACCTTCTGTTCATGCTGAGCATCAACCTTTGAGCCACAAGAGGACTCCTGAAAGGCTTCCATGGGATGGCCGTTGATGTTGAAAGGTTTCCATGGGATGGTCGCTGATGGCATTCGTTTTGAATCGTCGCCCCAACTTCGCCCCTTTGTTTTCAACCAGAAGTCCAACGGATTCCAACGGCAAAGCTGACGATTTCGATTTCACGCAGCTCCGCCAGGTCTTCTCGGTCGCGGACTTCTCCACGAATTACTGTGCCTCAGAAGCACCGCGTAACCGGGGGATTTGTGCGGCGAGGTGGGAGCCAATTGGCAGAAGGGCCCCTTTCCAGCTTTTGCTCCCACTTGCCCTGGCGAAGATGGACCCCTGATCTTGGTGGCTCCCAGCCGTCCCCTTTGCTTTTTAGCTTGTAGGGTTTAGTGTTGGTGTCCATTTCACCCACTAAAAGTTAGTCACTTTTCGCGGGGATCTGAACACGGACTGCGTCATGAATGATATGAACGCCCAGCATGAAGTTACGGATGTCGGCGTGGATTTCTCTTCAACGGACTCAAGAAGGGCGAGCCGCAGGCATGGTTGCTGTTGGGAAACATTTTCCATTTTTGCTTCTTGTGGTTTAGTGGTTGAAATCCAACCACTGAGCTGCTAAAAAAGATGCTGACGTCAAGCAGGGTTCCCCAAGCCTTTGGTTCCAACGAGGTCCGTGTGAAGCTTGACGTGGCACGGGAATTTTCCGGTTTGCTCCAAGCCGAAGATGTGAAGGCCCATATTCTTGTTCATAGCATCGTGTGCCACTTTTTCGGGTACCCGGGTACCCGCCATGTTTTTCGAGGGAGGCCCCCTAAAAAAGCGTTTGTCAATGACACCAGACAAGCTTAGATTTGTTCACTTTCTTTCAAAGGACACTGCTTCGCGGGGAATAGCAGCAGCTCCAACCAGGTCTGTGTCATGCTGTTTCTCCAGAAGACAACGTCTTGAGGGATGCTGCGGTCCACACACCAGGCACAAAAGCAAGCAAGACTTCGTGCCTGGTCTCCAACACATTTGGGGGACAAAGGGGGAATCCACCAGTTCTGGTGAGAATTGCATGAGTACATGCAGTGCAAGAGTTCGTGCCAGCCTGCTGAAGCCCTATGAGCAATCTGACGCTGATCATATGCATGTATGTAAATACATATATATATATATATATTTATATATGTATAAACCCCCATAATATATTCCTTGGTATGAGACCAATATGTGAATCCCGTTTTTCCGATCCTCTGGTGTTGACCTGGTATAGAGCGTTCGTCATTTGTTTGCCATCATGAGGCAACCTGCGCATGCTGTACTGCGGCTCCGCCGACGGCTGCAAACCGGTGCAGAACGACTTCACTTCCACGGAGAATCAGGCGGAAAGCCGGATTTCTCCGAAAGTTTCAGAACTTGGAAACGTCAGGGCGGTGTGTCAAGTTGGAGTCTAGGACCAACGTCCTCAGTTCATGAACTTTAAACTTTTTGGGAAGACCATTTTAGTGGTAAGTATAAAGTTTGAACTTTTTTGGGCCATCCACTCAGCAAATGAGAAGGAGCCAGCCCAGTGGTTCGAGTTCAGGAACCCAGTCTCCTGGTTCCAACCCGGCAGCCCTGGTCGGTGCTTCAAGTTGGTAGATGGACACATGCTGGTTTCAACTTACCTCTTAAAAACACACAACTTTTCAACTTGTTGGGTAACATGGGCAATATGTCTGTAAAAGATTAACTTCCCCAGGGCTTGGAGTTTTAAGGGGTAAGTTTCACAGGGCTCTTTGTTGAAAGCCAGCAGCCCCGGCAACGAACAAAAACAGTGCCCCCCCCAACAAAGTGGATCGACCGGAGGGCAGCCTTTGTTCCGTTTGATTGATTTCCCCCTGGGCCCAACTTGCAAAGCCCGACTTCTTGCAACCGGCATCCGTTTTCTTTTGCTGCTTAGCTCCATGTCCAAGTCCTGGTTCCCAGCTCGAACCAGTGTGATGTGCCAGATATATAGAAAGTTCCCAAAGGATCCGCTTCCAATAGAGAACTCCTCCGCCAATTATTTTGGAGTTTCGATTTATCTGCAGGAGAGTGGCACCCTTTGCTTTGCCCTGGTTCTTTGAATTTTTGTGGACCGGCTTTTTGAATCGTTCAAATCACTCCTGTGCACTTCCATGATTGTCACTCGCGGTTCACCCAAATTTATGCCCCACCGTTATTCCAGGCCAATCCACACGTGGATTCGCGGTAGATGTTGATTTCATGGTATGGGTTTCAGGCTACCCTCAACTAGCGGTTCCCACTTGCGCGAGGGTAAATCAAGCTCAAGAGCACCTGTGTTGGGTCTTCTTTCAAGCATCGAAGGCTGCATCCCAGCATGATGATTGTGATGAGTTATGTTTCGTTTTTTTTTTTTTTTAAACCTGGATGATGTTGATGATTATGATGATTGTTTCTCTTGTTGTCTTTGTGGCTGTTCCATGTCAAACTAGAAGCAACACACACACACACATGTGAATCAAGCGCAAAAGCAATGGTTTTCTGTGGGATCTCGTGACTCTAAAGAATGAGCAACCAAGAAGTGAGAAGCCCGCTGCCGCCCAAGATTGTCCAATACAGAGGAAGTGATTAGCTTCCTTTTGCTAAACACCGTGGTGCCCGTTTGAGACGGAGCCATAGGGAAGAAAGCCGAGACTGCCAGGAAACGTGTTTGAAGTGGGTACTTCTATGGTTTCTTAGAAGCTTTTGAGGGGAATGGAGCCAGATGGAAAGAGAGAGCAACTCTCGCCCGTCTGTTTCACTCAGGTTGACCCCTCCCTTGGAGCTGGCAAGGACAGGGCTCCGGTCTCGCCGCTTTGGAGTTGGGCCACACGGGCTGGTGCTTTGGGCTGGTGTGCAAGGGAGCCCAAAAGGAGCCAACCACCTCGGCAACTGGATTTCTTTCCAGGCTTGTTTTATATTTTTGTCTTTCACACCTATCAGACGTGTTCAGATCCTTGTGCGAGTAGCTGCCTACACACCTGCGTGCCAAAGCTGCTCTTAGAACAGGCTTTTGAACATGTATGGACACTCACGACCTTTTGTTGGCAGTCCTAAAGCATCTACGCCTGCAGAGCGGGGCATGTGGCTTGGGGCCGAGGGGTACAGCGGAGCCGCTGGAGGGATCCTTCAGTCAGGCGTGTCACGCAGATTTCACAGAGACACAAGCAGAGACTAGGTCCCTCAGTGGTGCCCTTTTACCAACTTTTTTGGGGGGAGGGTTCCCCTACTAAAACAGACAACTGAAAAAGTTGGTACCCTTATTCTAACCTCCAAAACTGGAGGACCTAGGAGAGTGGAGAAGACGGGCTTGAAAATTTGGGGGGCCAGCTTCTGGACCCCTTCAAGCAGTTCTTTTCTCTTGCTGCCGTGGACCGCACTCAAAGGGATGCGTGAGGAGCCAAACGGAAAACGAAGGTAATGGTGAAGAAGGCTGAGATTGTAGGTGTTGAATCGCAAGAGGCAGGCAGGTAGACATGGTGAATGAGCCAGGTTTTCTTGTAAGCCTGCATCTGCGGGCAAACTGAATCTCGCTGACGGTCTTCCAGACGGGAGAAAGGCACAAACATGGTCAACAGCAACAGGAACATCTACCGCACATGTGTCACAGACTCACGAAATATCATATAGTTTGGGAAACCTTAGGCTTCTCGGAACTAAACTCTGGTAATTACTTTTCCGCGGTTTCAGGGAGAATGCCCCGCTTTTTTGCGGTGGGTGCCTTCCCTTCTGGAAACCACAGCCCGTACCGCAAGCATCCTGTGTTTTTTTTTCCCTTGGCGAATCGATGCGAATCGACTCGAGCATCGAAGGACCCCTCCGCGTGCCTCAAGACCACGGAGAACTTCTTGGCCAAGGACAGCCAGTGCCCCCCCAAGGGCTTCGACACCATCCAGGCCGGAGGGATTCGATCTCAGCTTACTGGAGTCCAAGGGAAGGGGTTCCATACGGTCGAAAAAAATCCCCGCCGCTTTGCCAGGGCTTACACAAATCCCACTGCCTGTGTGAGATTGGCAATTTGTTGGATGTGAGTTGGACACATGTTTTTGAAAGAATGCCAACAACATTCAAAAAAAGGGAGCGTGGTGCGCGGCCTGTTCAGTGGCAAAGTGGAGTTGGGAGAGGCGGTGCAGGACTTTGTCCGTCAACCGATTATGTCTTCTGGAAATTGGTGTGGATCTTTGGGTTTTTCTCGATATTGCTCCTCATTGTGGCACATGGAAGCCAACCAGCAGATGAATGTAATGCTCTGAACAACTGTTGCATAGTGGTGGTTATGCTTGGATTTACTCATTTGACTATAGACAAACATCATGCTTATATAGGTTTATATGGGATTAGTCGTATCGAGCTTAGCCGGGTCAATGGGGGCTATGGGGCGGAGGGTGGCAGGGTGGAAGGGTGGAAGGGAAGTCGGTGTTTATGAGAAGCCACGATTTGCGTGTTTTGGGAAAGAAATTGAAGAGGCCCGCTCGAACGAAGGGAGCTGGTTTGCAATAACTCTTTCCTGGGTGGGCTTTTGGAGGAGCCCCAAGGTTTGTCAAGGTGTTCCCTTGAAAGGGCGTTTTTGGCTGACGTTCCCTTGATTCCCGAAGTCAAAAGGTATACCTCGGTTCCGGGTTTTGGTTGCTCCGGTTTGGCAGTCGAGAGGGAGCTGACCGGTTGCAAGTCTTGGAATATTTAATACCGTGTTTGAATGCTGACGACTGGGAGTTTTCCTGCGAGGGAATCGAGCTTGTCACACCCTAGAGCTATTGTCGACCATGGGACCATGAGTCACGAGTGTCTTTGGTTTGGCCCTTGACAGGGGTCCAAAGCACAAGCGCTGTCGCTCACCAATCCTGTGCTTGTTTGGAAGGGGAGGAAAAAGGCGTTGCGCGTGCTCCGCTGGGCAAGCTCACATTGCGCCGGTTGACAGCAGTGGGCTGGGTACTGCTGGATGTTCTCCTGAGTCCTGTCACAGTTCTTATGGCAAGCAGATAGGTGGGAAAGTGTCGACACCAGCGGCCCTGTTTGGGTTGGTTTGGTTTGAAAATGCGACCCTGCAGCGGACGATTTGGAGGCGTTTGGGAGCGGACGCTTTGCATGTGAGGATTTTGGGCCGATTTGTTTCAGACGCCCAAGCCCAGGAGTTCAACCTGGAGAGTTTCATCTCCAAGCGTTGGTGGATTCAGCAGCAGATGGCGGTCAAGTACCTGCCGAAGAGTGGCCTGGCGATGTTAATTGCTTGTTGCTTGGCCAGTTTTTGTTTTTTTTTGCGTGAATCGTTGCAACTCTCAAGAGCATGGTGGAACTTTGGTGTGGGCATCGCTTTCTGCGATGCCCAGGGATTCCGCTTTAGAGTGGCGAGCTTTTCATCCACCGTCCAGTCACCTGACACATGTGGCACGGGCTGCGCGCGGCGCCCGTCGGGTTAAGGGGACACCAGCAGGAAAACAGAAGCCCAGAGGTGTCCCCACGCCTTCAAGATTGGTCGGTGGGCAGAAATCTGCATGCAAATGATGTCCACCCAGAAATCCCCAACTGAATTGTTCTCTGCATACGGAATACTGTTCATACCCATTTGGACAGCCAGCCATCCAGCCAGCCAGCCGACCAACCAACCAAGCAATCAACCAACCAAGCAACGCAACCGACCAAGCAACCAACCAAGCAACGCAACCGACCAAGCTTCAAGCAACCAAGCAGCAAGCAACCCACAACCATCCCCGGCACCAGCAAGGCCAGAACCGGTGCGTCTACGCGGAGTACAAGCTCCGGGACAAGAAGTCCTTCTGGGGCTACGATGTCGCAGTGCAGCTCAGCGACAACATTCCGAGACGGAGTCAAGGGATCCAAGCGCCCGTTCCTTTGGAGTACTGGAAAAGCCTTCTTGCGTTTTGTTTTTTTGTTTTTCTTCTTTGGGGTTTTGGGGTTGGGACGCCTTCTTGTGGATCTTCCAATTTGTGTTGTAAGTCAACTATCTACCCAGCCCAAATCTGGATGGTTGAAATCTAATCCGATTCAATCCGCACTTATGCCAGCTGGTAGGTATTTTCCGTAGTCGAAGAGGTGTCCGACTACAGATGGCGCATTTGGATTGGGGATCCCCCGGTTTTGAACAGCCCAGTGAAGTAAGGGAAAGCTCCCCCAGTTGTGAAAGCATTGTGGTTTCATATTGTTTTCCTGTGTGTTTGTTTCTTTCCATGTTGCTTCCCTTTGGTTTTCTGCTGGGTTCTTTTGGTTTCCCTTGTAGTCGTCCTTTTGTCTTACTATTTGTGTTCATTTGGTTTAGGTTAATTTTATGGTTTCTGTTTGCCGTTCCATTTTCCCTTAAGTTTGTTTCCTGTTTGCCGTGTTGTTAGCTTTCTGTTGGCTTTGTTTTGGTTGCCCTCCTTGTTTCCTCTTCATTTTTAAAGTGTTAGTTCCAGTTCCCCTTTCTTCTTTTCTTAAGATGTAGCTCCTTGCGTGGTTGCTTTAAGCCAGCCTTAATGTTCAAGAAGCATCTGCAAAGGAGCTATGCGTGTCACAAGCTGACTAGCCAATGCACACCTTTGTATTTATTGACCTAAGCACATTGTTTGGAGCTGGCGTGTTGCATTGGTCCTCCACGAGCATGGCTATCAAAGCAGGGAGCCTTGCCAAATGCATCTGGCTACAGTGTTTGGAAAGGCTTGAATCCCTGACTACTTTGAAGAGGCAAATCACTGTTTTTTGAAACGCGCCTTCACCAAATGACTGTCATAGTATCAACAAATGGGAGTCAGAATGTGCCCATTTGTCACCCACCATGTGGCTGCAAAGCCAGAATTTGCCCGCAGGCACAATCATGCGGAGAACGTGACAGCGCCTCATGCGCCCTACGACTCTGGAAACAAGATTTGCGCCGGGAGCCTGAGTAGCAGAGTCAGAATGCCATATCGGCAAGCCAATAGGGTAGGAAACCTGCCATTGTCCTCGCTATTTTTTTGGCCCATGGGGGTTCTTTTGGCTTCCTAGTGTACAGGTAAATGGAATGTGAAAAGCTTTTCATTGGGTTGAAGTGAGCTGAGGATCTACTTTGCCTCGTTTGGAGGGGTACTCACCCTCAAGTGGCTCTGGGTTGCCAGAAAAAGGGCGTGTTCCAAAAGGAGATTCCTCTACAAAGCACTGATTTATGGGTTCTGTGTTAACAGGAGAATGCTCAGGGCTTCGCCGCAGATGTGTTTCTTCTGCTTGTCAGATGGGTGTGTGATTGCCATGATTGCTTGTCGACATCATGACCGTTTCAGGCAAACATGGTTTAGAGGGAGAACAATGATCAAGAATCTACATTGTCAGCTTCCGATGTTTAGCAAGTCGCTCCCTACATGAAGCTGGGGCGCACAGTGAATGTTGACCCGTGGCTCCTTTGATTTGGGAAGTCCATTTTCCGCAGAACCCTGTTTCCCCCTGATCCATAAACCCACCCCCGCCATCTAAGGGCCAGTCTTTGCTCGGAGCATGTAAGCATTCGCTTCTGGGTCTCTTTCATCGGGACTCCCTTTTGGATCATTTGGGAAACCCGGAAATCAGGTCTGACTTTGGGAGCCCAGTGCAGGTGGGGCCCTTGGAACAGCGAGAAACATTGTTTGTCAATGAGACGCATCCAGTCACAGAAATCATTAAAAAGAAGCCCCCACAGGTGGCTCAAAAAGTTGCCCCATAGAGAAACCATCGCACCGGGGACTCGAAAAATTGGAAGCCCATGGGTCCCAGGCACGTAGAGGCTCAGTTGGGGAGCGCCTCAGGCCAAGATCGTGGACAAAGCCCGAGGCACGAGCACGGCGATTCGTGGGAGAAGTTTGCAGTGGAATGGAATGGTCCGTTGTCATAATTGAAGTTTGGAATGCAACAAAATCAACATATGGATTTTCAAACTGATTGACAAACTTCAAAAGTCAATCAGTGTTTGAAATATCACATTGAAGCTCTGGATTGACCATTGACATATTAAACATTGCCATATTGAAACTTTGGACATGTCATATTGACAATGCTTGACAATGTCATTTGTCATGTTTCAAACCTTGGTTGCAACAATATCAATTGAAGTAATTAGCATATCGAAACTCTGGATTTGGAGCCAAGGTTTGGAATTCCTTGCACAAATGACACGGGAAAAGGTGTCCATACTAGCACTTTCGGGGTGGTGGCGAAGGGAAGCCAAAGCGCCACCACCATTTTTGTCTAGGTCCCCCAGCAATAGGTGCCCTTTCTCACCCTTTTGGGGGAGGTTCCCCTACTAAAATAGACAAAACCGAAAAAAGTGGGTACCAACTTATTCTCACCTCCAAAACTGGAGGACCTAGTTGTGCTCCCCTATGACTCCGCACGCGGGGATTCGCCAGGCAAGCTGGAAGTGGCGCCATGCTTCCTGCCCAGCATCGCTGCGGGACCTTACTGGGTCATTGACTATGATGAGGCGTCAGCGCGGCAGCGGCCGGAGATTTACTGTTCTTTTATATATATATATATATGTATATATTATATATATAATATATATATAATATATATATATATATTTTTCCGTGGGTCAAAGAATATGTACCCAAAATGGGTTTCCCTAGCAAGTGGAACCAAGGACTAAAACCTGCGGTCTGGTGGTGACTAATTTTGACCCACACCCATATCTGTCTTTGGGCTGTTTTTGTTTGTTTTGTTTTTTGCTTTATCTAGGTCCCCCAGCTAGGTGCCCTTTTACCGTTTCTTTTTTGGGGGAGGGTTCCCCTACTAAAATCGACTACAGAAAAAGGGGTACCCTTACTCTAACCTCTCTTCTGGAGGACCTAGTTGTTGTATTCAAGTTTCCCATTGGCTCAAGCAAACACGGACCCCCCGAGGTCCAGAAAAACCCTTTGAAGGCCAATCTCCCAGTCTTTGCACCCAGCCTACCTTGGAGAAAGCGTTCTGGCACCGATGCGGTTTGGCAATTGTCAGAGAAGACGGATCTTTGGATATTAGCCTGTCGTAAAACAACAACTGCAGGAACTGTCCTTTCTTCTTTTGACATAGACATGATAAAACTGTTCACCTTCTACTTCCAGTGTTTTATGCGTGTGTATTTGTTCTAACAGCCATTGCTGTAGATATATGTATGCACCTCCAATCAAAGGACCATACCGACGTGTTCACTGCAATCGCCTGGCGCAAGAGCTCAGAGTGTTGACCTGTGCCCGATGTTTTCTTTGACGATGTTGTGCAGCTTTGATTGGCATGGTCAGCCACAAAGAGGAGCCACCCGAAAGCTGCTGGGGGGTGAGCCTTCTGGTGGGTCTTCCCTTGCAAATTCGCCAACTCCAAGACCTGGGTCGCTCCCAGCAGTTGATGATGATGACGATGATTATGATGGTGGTGGTGGCGATGATGATTGTGTTGACGTTGACGCTGATGATGATGCTGACGATGGTGTTATGCCAGCCAACAGTGCTTCTCCTTGTCATGGTGTGCTATTGTGGACTATTAGGATTAAGGACCCGTCAGAGTTCAAACAACCCAGTAAGTTTAGGAAGCCCCCTCAAAGGCTTTCGGGTTTCATTGTGGTTTCCATTTGGACTGCTCGATTTCAGTTCATGTCCTCAGATGTTAAACAACTCGGAAAACAGCTGATCCACGCATTTATGGGGGGATATGGGGGGAAAAGTGCCTTCTTGTGGGTCCTCTCTTTTTGCCAGTCAACCACCCCCCCACCCCACTCTCCAAACAGCTTACCTTTGAAGGAAGCCAGAAGGTCTTGTTCAGCTTGGGGCATTTCCCTGACTCCCTGCCAATCGAGCCAGCACGCAAACGCCGGGTCGGCATCCTGCCTTTTTCGGATGTCAACCCCCCCTCCCCTCATCAACTGGAGGTTATTCAAAGTAGATCCTCAATCCTTGCCCCTCCCCAGAAACCAGGGGTTCTTCCAATTTAAAGTAGATCCTCAATCCCCCCCCCCCCACAACCCGGGTTGTTCAAAACAAAAGACTCAATCCTTGTGCCTGGCGGTTGCCCTCCATTCCCATGTTGCCGCCATCTTTAAAACCTTTCGGACGCGCCCGGAAGTCCAGGCGGCCGGCTACGCGCTGATCTCCGGCGGTGCGCCGCAGAACGAGGGCACCGACGGGTGCCGCACCGGCTCGGCCGCGCGACCTCAACGGGGAGGGAGTCTGTGAGGAAAAAACACCCAAGCCGCGGCCTGTTGGCCTATGGATACTCCGAAGAGGAGCATTACCCTCCCACACGAACGTGGAAGTGCAAAAAGGGCCTTTCCAAGAGGAAAGCAGTCTTTCTACAGGGGTCTGTGCACTTCCATGTTGGCCGGTGGGAGGGTATCAACCCTTGGGGTGGTTTTTCAGGGCAGTGAACAGATCCCAAGGAGAAAGCACTCGGGGAATCGACTACCCTTCCTCCAACCAACATGGCACTTGTGGGGAGGTACCTGGAAGACGAATTTCCTTTTGAAGGGACCCCGTGTCAGATGCCATGTTAGTGGGAAGAAGGGTAATCTATACCGCGGACTCCTGATAAAGCATGGTTGGGAACATGCTGACGGTCGAGGCCTGGCTTATCTCGCCATTGATCCGGGAAAAGTGTGTGAAGCAAGGGTATGGGTGTCCTGGGGAAAAGGTGCACTCCGAGCAGATCATGCCTAGGTTTGTTGGGGAGACTGAGCTACAAGATATGTTCCAAGCGATCCATGTTTCTTAGAGCTAACAAGCCAGCGCACCCGACCAAATTGTTTGGGAGGCAACTTGCTTCCCTCTTTGTGCCCGGTTCTTGTTTTCGAGTCTGCAAACCTGGAACCCATTCGCTTCTTCGGTTTCAAGCTGTGTCCGCCAAGTTTCACCACAATGAGCTGCTCGCATTGTCTTTGCTCAGTGGCTGCCATCCACATAAACACGGCCACTGCTTTCCTCCACCTCGTAAGGCATGTACATGTTCCTTTCTTGGTTGCAATGGCAATCATGTATCAAGGCAAAACCCCAGCATGACTTTGAAGCGGGTTCCAAGCCCCCTGTCGATTGGAGACCGTTTTTTGTAAAGGGGGTGTGCTCAATCCTTCAGATCAGCAAGCTGGCCAAAGTCTCCACAACCCGGGTAAGGAGGCTCCATGCCTATCTCATAGCTCCTCCATATATGGTACCGTAACCCTTAAAATGTGAATTCATGTCCACAAAGGTCCCAGGGTGGGGGTTCCGTTGGGGTGGCTTCCATATTTAGTAACCCTAAAATGTGAATTCATCAAGGGGTCCCAGGGGAGTTCCGTTGGGGTAGCTTGGGATGGCTCAAGGCTCGCCCTTAGGGAACGGGGAGTTCCATTGGGTGGGATGGGATGGCTCAAGGCTGGAACGCGGAAGGAACGTGGGGCCCCCGCCAAACGCCAAACGTCCCCCGCGCAAAAAAAACTGCCGAGGGCACGAACAACGCGGGCCTTTGGATCTTCACCCGCAGCCAGAAGCGTGACGAGGCCGTCGCTGACGGCGGTTGACTCGACTGAGGGCCGGTTCGAAGTCTTTGAGGGGGTGCCTTTTTTGGGGGGATGGGCGGGTGGGGGACAAAGGGGTTCTCCTTTGGTTGGTTGGTGTTGTTTGTTCGGGGGGGGTGAAATGGACCTGCAACCAAAGTCACTGATGTCTTTCTTCTCGTGGCTGTTTCCGAGTTTGTTTGAGGTGAACCGAGGTCTCCGTTTTGAGCTCAAGCATCAAACAAATAGGAAGGAAGCCAAAGGCCCCCGCACCCACCAGGAAAGGTTTTCAGAACCTTTACAAGGGGATGTCTTTTTGGCCATTGTTAGTGGGTAAGGAAGTTGTGGGTGCATTGTTGACAACTCGTAGGCATATCATATCATAGTTTCCTGCCAGAGGTTTGGATGATGGGTCTGTGTGTTTGAGCCACAAATCGGGGAGTGAATTACGGCTGGGGCAGGAGCATTGATTGAAGCAGCTTTGACTTGTGCTGGCCTTCATTTGCGCAACAAATGGCTGTCTAGTTCCTGTGCGTCATTCGTTGAGGGGGGGGCGGTTTAAAGGGAGACCCGCAAAAAAAACCCATGCTTTGTGGGGAGGGGTCCCCAGAAAAGAAGAGACAAACCCACGTATGGCGTGTGTCTTGTATGTGCCCAGCTTCAAGGCTGGACTCCGTGAGGCAGCTAGCACATTTCCTTGAGCCAGTTCGACGGTTTCGTGTGTCCAGCATGATCAGCATGTCTCAAGCATGGCATCCAGTGTGCAACTCTGCGCTTCGCTGTGACGCAGCTGGGTGGAATTGTCGGCTTGGGATTTCTGGGGATCCGATCTGACCCCTTTCATGGGGCCGTGGTTGGCCGTTTTTTGTGGTTCTTTCTGCGAATGGTCAATGTGTTTTCCAAAGGCACGAGGAAACTCGGAGGCCGCTTCCCTCGAAGTGGGAAAATGTGCAGCCTGGTTTGGTTTGGGGTCGTTTCCCAGTGACCCTCTACCAGAACCAGGAAATGGTTCAACTGGGGAAATGGTTTGGTTTGGTGGGGGAAGTGGTTCAATTCCCAGTTCCCTCCCCACCTCCCACCTGACGGGTCATGGAGGCTTTGGTGCAGAAGGTCCGTTCCATCGCCGCGCAGAAGGGCCACTTGCTGGGCCGAGGGGGAAATCGATGCCCCACTTCCGGGAGGGCAACGCGAACAGACGACCTGGATGTATGACTGGATCCTCCAGCAATTGGTGCCCTTTTTCACCCGTTTCTGTTTGTGGGGGAGGGTTCCCCTACTAAAATAGACTACAGAAAAGTTGGTACCCTTATTCTAACCTCTCTGGAGGGCCTAGATGAAAGCGGTAGTGGGGGGCATGGGCACCTGGCCGTTTTTTGGGGGAGTATCCAGAGTTGAGCGGGGACAATTACGATTGATTGATTCAGCAACCTCCTGTCCATGCCCGCAGAACCAATAACCCAGAATTTCCCGCCACCCGCAGGTGTGTTTGTTGAGGGGCATCCAAATCGAGGGGGGCAGTTGGCCAAGGTGTTGGGGAGCAGTATCCTTTTGAGAGGAGAAGCCACACTTGCTGGAACCCGCGAGATCACGGGGAACACTCAGAAGACAACCCAGGCGAATAGAAATTTGGGGGCTCAATGAGAACGCAGGATCAATAAACCCCTGAAGGATAAAGCGGGGTGGGGGAGGGTGGGAGGGGGGGGGGGGGGTAAAGGAAGCCAGGATAGTATTTCTTTTTGCTGGTGAGCAACACCGATTCAGGAATCACCGTTTCACCATTTAAAGCTGAATCCTTGTCAAAGCTTGTAAAACGGGCCCTTTCTCGTTTTACCAGCCATCCACTTCAACATAGTTTGAAGGCTGTCCAAAAAAGCACCCATTCCGTGCCGAAATGGTACATTCCGAGTGTTGGACATGGAAAAAAATTGTCAAAAGTCGCCCTTTGCTTGTGTTTGTTTGATTCAAAAATGGGGGGGGGGGGGGGGTTGAAATAGGAGCCCCAAGCTGCCAAACTCAAACCTCTTGGCTGCACATGGAGGTCTATGGGTGGCCTTGCACCCAGGCCTGCGCCTAATGGAACTTTGGTTCACAGTTGAAACAAAAAGAAACACGAACCCGTAAACTGCGCAAAGTCCACTGGCCACTATCCCCGCCGTAACGAAGCACCTGCTGTTCCTCCAGATCCCTGTAAAGGCCTTCTCTCTGGAATCAGCCTGTCCTGCGCGGGGAAAATTTGCCTGGGAAGCGGGGATCCCCCTTGTTTTGCTTTTTTCGGAAACGCAAAACGGGTGGCCCTTCCGTTGTCAGGCTTTGACCTCTCCGTGCTGAACGACGTGGACCAGACCGAGTGCTCAGAGCAGCTGGTGGTCTGAGATTCGCCGAGGCGGGGCGCTGGTTTTCCGGGCCTAAAAAGACTGCCCCAGGCGGGCAAACATGTCAAACAGGTCCAACAGATCAAAGAAGTCCAGCAGGTCAAACAGGTCAGGGCAAAACATGTTGGAAGACATCCGTACTTTTTGTCACTGCTGTAGGGACACGGGTGTGGTCCTCTATACGGCTTGCAATCCTGACCATGGAAGACTCCCGAGAAGGGAGCATCGCAAGCAGTTCGTGCAGTTTCAGGGTGTTTGCTTTCCGCCGTTCTCGCGTCCAGTTTCATCACTGTCTTTAAGCTCTTTCTTGCCTGGTTACAGACTCTTGGTTCTGCCGGTGTTGTTCTCTGTCCGCTGTTAACGTTGTTTTCCTGCTTGTGGCATAGTGACAGTCACAGCACGCGCTTGCGGGCTGTGCGTTAAATTTGTCGAGATCAGCTCTGAAGTGCGGGCAGCTCGGTAGGCAGCTGCAGAGGCAATCCTTTCTCTGGTGACTTTAGATCATCAACTTCACCGTTGTTTGCATGATTTGCGGCTTTTAGTTGTTTTGGTTCAGTTCGTTTTTAGTAGGTGCTAGAAAAGAAGTGGTTTGCTACCATGCCGAGGGCTGGAAGTGCATTGTTGGTTCTTGCTTGGCATGTCCGATGTCCAATGGTAACATGGGCAGCATCTTGGAATGTCCGATTTGGACGGTATGGGAAAGGATGATTGGGCCGGCAAGTTGGGGCTTTGGAGGACAAGAAACAATCAGAGACACAGCCTAACAGCCTATCCAGGAACCAAACAGCCTAACAGGAAGTTAATATCCAACAGCCTATTCCAGGAAACAAACAGAGACCCTGAAAGCACTACATGGTTTTCATTCAGGGTGAGCCATGCCATAGACATGCCTTGTCCGCTTCAGGCGATGGCGTGTGCCTTGCGCGGCCGCGCGAACAGAATGGGCGTGACACGCGCTTGAGCGCAGTCGCAGAAGGCCGAATGGAGCACCGGCAGGGCTTAAATGAGTCAGTTGAAACGAAGCAGAGGTTTCGGAAGTTTGATGCTCAAGCTGGTTTGCTTTGTTTTGGCCGCTGCGAGTGACATGGCCAATCACTTTTCGCCCCTGGGGGTCACTTGGATCCCCTGGTGCCTTTTGCCGCCGCGTCTCGGACAAAAGATGCGCCTGGCTGTTCGGTGCAAGCGAGCGGAACTGCATCGGAGGCAGTGGGGGTCAAGGTCGCTTGTTCCCGCAGCTCGCTGCCAATGTCCAATCTCTTGCCTTGTGGAACTGTCATGTTACTCCTTCAGAAGCGTCCGACCAAAGTGGCCCCTTGACCTTGCCACATTAGACCACTTGAAGAAGGACCTTCCCTAATTTTGAGACACCCATGAGCTGCCTGGACTTGCAGCTGCATCGGTTCAAGATTGGCGCTAAACAGGACAAGCACGGTAGCGCGTGACATACATATTGTGTATGGCATCCTTTCACAGGCACTTGCTTGATAAAATAGGTGGCATGCTGTCTAAATTCAGAATGTTTGGCGTTCAACGTGGTGTGCATCGATCGTTTTGCCATGGCTACTACTACCGTGACTGTGATTGGTGCAGATGCTTGGCGAGAAAGTCTGCCCACCAGACATCATCAGTAATTATGAGTACATTCTGCTAAGTGGCGGCCCCTCATGACTCATGACTCGGCTCGTGTAACATCGTGTAACTCTATCCCAATCTCATTTTGCGCAAGTGGACTGAATGACTGCCAACAACTACGCTCGGCGCGAGCCAATCGGCTCAGGAGTTGCGGCCCCAGAGCCCGCGCTGGGAGTCGGAGCCTAGAGCTGGGCCCGATGCCGAAGAAAGGATGCCCGCGCGGAGTTCTTTGCTTCTGGTCCTGCGCCTTGAATCCAATCGGAGGTTGCAATTGGTCGCCAAAGAAGGATCTAGAAAAAGGGGTGAAGCATTACTTACAGAATTTGAATAAGGTCATTGGATCCTCAGCGCCTACAGAGAACTGCTCAGTGTAAGGTAGTCATGACTCGATGGTTGTGGCAGAAAGCGGCAACCCTTTTCTAGCGTGTTTTGGTGCCATGGGCCAACTGTCCGGTTTTGGAATACGACATGGGTCGATCGGTGAGCTCACAAGCTGGAGTTTGAGCGAAACAAGTTGACGCATGGCCATGAATTTTAATTGGGAACCACCTCAAAAATGATTGGTGGACATGAATCCCCACCTAAATGATGTCCACCAAAGTGTCCCTTATTAAAATTCACACCCACATATTCTTTGGACGCTCCCTTTCCACATTGATAAATGTTGGAGCACCTCCTGAATAGAAGCCCTGGGAACTTTCAAATGGCCCTGCACAACTTGGAGAGCAACACCTCATCACCTCGTTGACTCCGTGCTCCTGTAGTCCTACCTCGCCTAAATCGCTTGTTGGCACGAACCCACCTTGCTTCGCTGACTGACGGGCCTTTTGGCAATTCACTGGTCTCTTTCTCGCTCAGCCTCTTGTAGGATCAACCGCGTTCCAAAAGGCGACAGAAGCAACGACCACCGACGACTCGCCCTTCGCTGGAAAGGACCAAAGCAAAAGACCTCTGGGGCCGCGACCATTGCTGGCCGGAATGTGCAGGATGCTTCCAGTTCCCACTATAGGGAACCAGGTATCTTTGTTCCTTTAGGTTATACATGATGGTGCTGACCTGCTGATGACCCCTAAGGAAGACACCAGTTGGATGCTTGAAGTCTTCCTTGCAGTCCTCCCGGAATCTTCTGACAGTTGTTTCCCAGTCATTCCCCCCACCACCACATCTGACGACAGCTTGGCAGCGTGAGCACCATCTCATTTCGCGCGTGCCGATAAAGAAGCATCGATGGCCTCCAGTTGGCCCAGTTGGCTTCCAGTAGCCATAGTTGCCCAGGAAAGACTTGCTGGTGCTCGCTCGTCTTTCCCAGTTTCGTCAATCGCTCATTCCCGCATCCGGACAGGTTTTCGCCCGCTCCAAATGTGTGCTGGATCCATATCGACATGTTTGCCGTCTGAAACTTTGAAGTCTGAAGCTTTGGCCTGGGGTGCCGCAGGGATTCACATTCACGCTGTTGTCTGCGTAACGGTAGAAAACTTTCCAACCCAAGTTCTGTTGAAGGCAAACTGATGGGCGAGCTATCTGAACCAAGCAGTCCATGGGCAATAGGGAGTCTGGAAAGCATGAAACATAGTTCGATTGGAATCTGATTTCAACCGAAGGGATCATGGAGTTTTGCTGAAGTGCGCACCTCCCTCTGAAGTACAAGCTGCATCCAAAGGCACGCAAGTACAGCTGCTGCAGCATGGTGGTCGGCAATCCCGTTTTTGCAGCGAATTTGGTTTGGAGGCCAAACCTTATTTTCGTTATTTTCCCCAAAAGGAACCCACAACGACAAGGGGATGATGTGATTCAGTTGTTGCCAAAGCAGCGATGTGCTTTCGAAAAGATGAAGTGTAGGGCCACCTTCTGTGATACCAAGGGAATCCCCCTCACCTTGGGTGGGTGTGTGCTTTTGAGGGTGCCCTCTGGGATTTGATTTGAGGGAAGCCCAATGGAATTGCACCATTTGCAGGGATCCCCTATCTTGGCACACACATGCGAATATTAATATACATATATATATATATACATACATGTCTTGTCCCCCGACCCCGAGCAGCGCAGAGGTATTTTGCCATGCTGACCAACGTCAACGTGGTGATTACTATCCCCACGGCCCATGACTACGCAGAGCGGTTGGGGGCGGACAACATGTTTGCGGGGCTCATGTGCCTGGATTTGATTTAATGTGTCCCAGGGAGCGTCAGGGCTGGGCAAGTTGAATTTAAACAACCAGCCTTTGCACTGAAACCAGAAAGAGGCTAGTGGTTTGAACATATTTGGACAATGGGTATGCCCAATCCTGCTTAATTGAGAGCATTGCCTTCCTTGAAACCCATCACAAAGGCGTTGTAGGAAAAGAGCGTTTGGGTATTTCCCGAATTTGGGGACCCGGGTTTCTAGTTTGAGACAGACTTTCTTACCATAATACTCCCGGCGTTGTTTGTGATTCCTTTTGCGGGGTCCCTTGTTTCAACGCGGACCTCATAATTTACGGCATCATAGCACGTTGTCATTGGCGGACCCTCCATTTTGAACAGCCCAGAAGCATCGTGAATGAACGTCGCACCCGCAAGTAGATTCTGGACTTGCTACGCTTTGGGACATCTTGTTGCTAGGAAGCAAACAGTGCGGGTCATCACACGATGTGGTCTTCGCGCAGGCTGCAAATACCGTTTTGGTTGCACTGTGAAACTGGCAGCACTGATCAACAGCGTCAAGAGATCACTAAGGCAGATGAGTAGTTTGCCAAACAACGGCCTAGTGCCACGACAGGGTTGCCCCTTTCGGTACAGATGATAATCTTGGCGTGGAGTTGGATGGGCATCCCACGTCAAAAGATTTCGGGGAGCTTCAGTGATGCAGGATCGGCCTGGTGCCGCTGTGTGCCATCATCGGGTCCCTAGCGAACAATGAGCTGATGAGGGTTCTGCCTCTGAAGACCGTCTGGGTCGTTTTGTGCCTGGGCAACGTGGTGGGCTGCCCGGCAGACCGACATGTTTTTGTGTTCCTTGTCGAGCGAATGGAAGGCGTATTTGCCCTGACCGTTTGGGGGGGGGGGGGGGACAGACTCATGGAATAAGAACCAGAAGTTGAGCCGAGCATTCGACCTCTGATCATACAAGGCGAGGGTTGGTTACAGCTTGTTGGTTGTATCACAGCTTGCTGCGGCTTGACCCTGGCTCTTGCACCTGTAGCTAGCTGAGCAAGTAAGAAGGATATGTAGAGAGCAGAGTAGGACGGATTGGCGCAATAAACAGGTCAGTCAGCCAGCCAGTAAGCAAGCACAAGTAAGTGTGATCGTGCATGCAAGTCTGGGGGCGGTCGCAAGGTTACTTGTGTGTGTGTGTGTATGTACCGCTGTATGCCCGTGTGGTACCGCAAGCCCCCCCAACCCCCCTGCCCCCCTGCTCCAACATGTGACCCGACGACTCAGCCAGTACCTAGGCACCCGCCAAATGAGTTCCTGTGGTGTCCTTTTCGAACTGAGCGGCTGTCATGTTGGATGATGTGGAGGATCCATGCGATTCAGAGTGAAAACCGCCTCCTGGAACCTATCCCACAAGACCAAACTTGAGTCTTGGATGGAGCAGCTGAATACGGTGCATCTTGAAAATTGGACATCGCAAACTGTGGATTTCCTGGAGTGACCCTTGCTTTAGCCCAGTCTGCTCTTACAGGGCAAGAACAATTTTGCAACCATTTGAAACACGGCTTTTTCCACCGAAAATAAAGGGAAGCCACCATTGACAAGGCAATGTTCAGGTGTACAATGTAAGGATCCCTGTCTTAGGGAAACCACAAGAAGGGAATGGCACGTCGCCCACTTAGGTTGCGTACTCTATGCGCTCGCGGGCTTGATGCGCTTCAAATGGACGTTGCTCTTTGCCCGAGGCGCGCCTGAGTTGTTCTGGATCTCCCCCTGCAAATGCCCCTTGTAGTGTTGCGTGTTGTTCGGATTTATATATATATATATATATTGATGGTCACCCCCCCCCCCCAGGGCCCACCTTTAGCATAAACAACTAACATATCATGTTTGCAAATCTTTCTTACAAATGTTGGGCCTCAAGAAAACACTGTAAAAACCAGTGTTTTTGAAGTGTTTTGTTTCACAGAGGCTTTGTGCCTTCAAGAGATGCATCCTTGCATAGATCAAACTCGAAACCGGAATCCGGTTTCGATTTTGATGTTTGTTACTTTGGAAAGTGTGCACCTGCCAGTGTTTTGTAGACATTGGAGTGCAAAAACACTGGGAAACCGTCCATTTTACAGGGGTTTGTTTACCCCTGTGCTCCAAAACCCGCACAGGGACAAAAAAATGGAAGTGCAAGTCCCAAAACCTTGACAGGGACCAACAAAATGAAAAAAATGGAAATCCTGAGGGAGATCTCCAGGTCAGATGGAAAGTTCTCTCTGAGATTTCCATGTTACAGTCCATGTTTTCTATGTTTTGTCCCTGTGCAGGTTTTGTATCTTCCACTTCCATTTATTTGTTCCTGTGCATGTTTTGGAGCTTCAAGACGCTGAAACCCGCACAGGGACAAAAAATGGAAGTGCAAGTCCCAAAACCTTGACAGGGATGGAAAAAAACATGAAATATTGAGGGAGATCTCCAGGTCAGATGGAAAGTTCTCTCTGAGATTTCCATTTTTTTCTATTGTTTGTCCCTGTGCAGGTTTTGTATCTTCCACTTCCATTTTTTGTTCCTGTGCATGTTTTGGAGCTTCAAGATGCTGAAACCCGCACAGGGACAAAAAAATGGAAGTGCAAGTCTCAAAACCTTGACAGGGACAAAAATAATGAAAAAAAATGGAAATCCTGAGGGAGATCTCCAGGTCAGATGGAAAGTTCTCTCTAAGATTTCCATTTTTTCTTTTTTTTTTGCCCCTGTGCAGGTTTTGTATCTTCCACTTCCATTTTTTGTTCCTGTGCATGTTTTGGAGCTTCAAGATGCAAAGGGCTCACACGGTTCGTTTTTTTGGTGCTGGCAGCCATGGAAAACAGTCGAAACTAGCTCATCCCAAGAGCACAGATGGCTCAGAAGCATTTCCTAGGACTGGCGTTGCAAGTCTTGCAACATCTTGCCAGTGGCTGCCCACATGTTGACACCCTTGTGCCAGTAGCACCACTGGGCGGAGCGGCCTTGAGTTATGGATGCTGCAGATCAAGATGACACGTGGTTATATGATGGTTCATACTCATATAAGCATATGCTCACCCCCATCTCCAAATTTATCATGAGTTGTATGATTTTCCCTCAAAAGGTGGGCCCTGGGGGGGGGGGTGATGTAAGAGCTAGGTAAATTCCTTTTGTTGAGCAGAGGCTGACGCCACACCCGGAAAAAACGGTTTTCGATTCAAGGTTGCAGTTGAGCCTTGCGTTTACCATCGAAAGGAAGAGCTCCATGAGACGAAAAGTTGCTTTTGGTGGCCAAAGAAGACGGACAGACAGTTGGTGGGATGCTATCGGCACAAATCGATCTTGGATATGCCCCATATTTCTACTCACAGCTACTTGTTGCTTTTGGGCTTCAAGCAAAGCTGTGCAAGCTGGAAGCGAATTAGATGCATATTTCCCCCTGACCACTCGAACTAAGACGTTCACCGGCACTGGGGACCCCACTGACAGACACATACTTAAGCTTCCTGCCGTTCGGCTCTCGTATGTCGCAAGCGCGAAGCGGAGGACCCACATGCCTGAACGTCTCACTCCCTGGAATCCGTTTCGGACTTGAGTCACTTTGGGGGGTTGGACCATTTTGGTGGTAAAGTAAAAGTTTGGGCCCTTGTTGTTGGGGCCATCCACTCAGGAAGTGAGAAATTGCATTGATCTCACCTTTTCATGTCCATGGGAAAATGAAAGACTCGAAACTCAAATAGACCATTCGGGCCTGTTCTCAATTTGCAGCAAAAGGGCATGCAGCTGTGGAAGCATGCAATGTCTGAAAATGCTTCACTCTCGACAGCAAGATACCGAACGGGTGACCCGGATGTTTGGTTTAGACCTGTTCCCGGAACCCCCAAACACACCAGCCAAGCACACACTCCATATGTGCTCATTGCAGCATATGCTTCAACCCATGGAGCGCGCGCGACCTTCAAAACGTGCGTGTGGCCCAAGGGGGTTGATTCAGACGTCTTTTTTTGCAGGTTGTGTTGACACATCCAGAGTTTGTTGAGACCATTCATCCAGAGCCAAGGGGCCTTCCGAAGATGATGATTGGTTCGGTTTCCTTCAGTCTTCCTTTGCTCAGTTGTGCAGTGGCACCCTTTTCCCCTTTTTTTGGTGGCTGCCCCACTCAAAATGGTCTTCCCCAAAACAGGTTCCCTTTTTTCTCCAGGGTCACTGAACAACTGAGTTTACCAACCAGGTTTCAGCCAACTTCCGGCAACTTTGCGAGGCCTCGGTGGCCTGTGCAGCTGCTTCAACATCCCTGGGCTTTACATCTCCCTGACCGTGGGCACGAAAAGGCGCAGCGAGGCGGGGCTGAGGGAAACAGGAGGATTCACTTGGCTGTGGTTGTCAAAACTAAGCCAGGAATTGGACCGCAGGTTTTAGTCCTTGGTTCCATTTACCAGGGCACCCCATTTTGAGCACCTATGTTTGACTCACAACCACTTGTTTGGTTTTAACGTAAAGCTAACGTGCTCCGAACGGATGAGGGAGAGCTTTCTGGCTCCTGCAGTCGGCGTCTTTGACGTTTGCTGCTATCCTAAAAGGAAACCATCTGAAGGCGGATCTCGCCAATGTCTTGGTGGCTCCCAGCCACCCCCTTAGCCTTTTAGCCTTTTAGTGTCTAGTGGGGGTTTCCATTTAACCCACTAAAAGTTGGTCACTTGGAGCAGGGATCTGAGGGCAGCCCAGGATGTGCCATGTGCCATGGTCGAAACCTGTCGAAACCTAAGGAGGATGTCAAGCCCAGATTCAGAAAAACCCGCTGGAGTATTGGGGGATATAGCGGACATTTCGATTCTCTTGCCAACCATTTGGGGGTGCCCCTTTTTTCGGGGGTGCCCCCTTCTTATGTGTGTTTTTTTTATTTTTTTCGGAACACCAACGGCCGCAACTGTTTGGGAGTCCCCTTATAAGAAATACAACACAAATTAAAAATACGCAATGGGAGGTGGGGGGTCCCCTTGTCAAAAATACAAAAAACATGTTGTTAGGGAATTTTGGGAGGTGCTGTTCTATTACGCCGCCATGCTGACCTTCGGCTGTGCCGTGGGCCCCGCCCTGGCCGCCATCCTGGAGGCAGGAAGCAAAGTGAGGTGGAGGGGTTTTGCAAAGCCCGGGTAGATGAAGGCTAGTAAAAAAAAATACTTACAACCATAGTTTGCTGCGGATATCCGGCTTCTTGATTCTTTACATGGTTCTACCCAGTTTAATACCGGGTTTTGATTATGACTCACCTTCTGTTCATTCCACGCACTTGATGTGTTGACATCGCGCGCTCCCAGGATCGATCGGCCCCTGTCCATCCGACCAGCTTCCTCATCTTGAAAGTTCATTCATCGCACGTTCTTGTTTGAACATGGCGTGTTGTTGTTTGAACTTCAGCTCACCTGTTGGTGTGAGAAGTTGTCTTGAGGTTGTCATGGTCTTGAAACATCGACTGTTGCTTTTCGTCATCGCCTTTTGTTTAATTAGGCATGACCTCTTGGTTCTTGAACATGCAGAGTTCGTGGTGATTGAACATCATCTGTTGGTCTGAAGTAACACCGCAAATGTTCAAACATAACAGGTTGTTGTTTCAACATCACCTGTTAGTATGAAATATGATCATTAGTTTGGTGGGCATCATTTTCTGGTATGTGAGCTTCACCTTTGGTTATAAGCATTGCTGTTGGGTTTTTGTCCATGGCCCTTTGTTTTTCGAACAAGCATCACATGTTGGCTGTGTTTGAGCATCACCTTTGGGTTCTTAGCATCATACCCTGTTGGTGTTGAACATAACGCTGTTTGCACATCCCTTCTGAAGTTTACGCATCACGCTTTAATGCTGAGGATAATGCGTTGGTTCCATATAGTCACTTTTGAGTTCGCCAATATGACCTTTGTGTTTTAAACATCTCATTTGATGTTTAACATCATCGCCTTTTGGTTGTTGAACACACCAGTTTGCATTTAGGATCTGTTTGTTTGGCGTTGAACGCCACTTTGCGGTTTCTAATAGCAATCTCATGTTGGCCCCAAAGTTGTTTTCCATCATTGAGGCAAAATGCACCGAAATGAGGATTTTTTGGAAGGGTCCAACAGAAGGTCCTAGATTCCCCTTTCGGTGCCTTGAAGCATCACCTTTTTCGGCGGATGTAAAGCCAAATTCCTTTTGGATACAATAGAGTGGCTTTGAACCAGAAGTATAGCGAACCAGGTTTGTGGGATTTCCTGATTGTCTGCAGTTTATGGCGACTTCACCTTAGGCTCCATGATGAGTTGGACCCTGTTGTATGGACTGCCCCTTCTTCGTTGATTGACGTATTGATTTCACCAATGGAGTTGATTTCAACATTGATCTATGGCCTCAGTGGCCGAAAGCGAATCGGCCTTGTTGTCTCTCTGGCCGCCCCCTGTTCGCAATCAGATTTAGTCATGGCAACCCAGGATCTTAGCATTGATTCCCACGCCCGTTGAGTGCAAGGTTCATTTGGGCCTGTCTTGTTTGGGATCTGATGCTTTTTTTTTCAGGAAAGGCAAGCCAGAAGGAACTAAACCTAGCTGCGGGGCACTTGCAGGCGCGGAAAAACATTGAGGTGGGGTGGAGGGCGTGTAGGCCCATGCCACCAACCACCATTTTGAAGCCAAACCGAGTCGCCATGTTCGGAGCTACCCAATGGGAGAACCCAAAGCTTATAGGTGCCATTGCCACGTCCAGGTGTCACCATGTAGTTCTTCGATTAGTTGCTTGGGGAGCGGGCCCAGTTTGCCCCCCCCCCCTCCCAAACGGTTTTTTACATGCCGGCCAAATAAGCGAAGGGTACCCTCCCTTCCACTAACATAGCACCTGTGGGAGGGTACCTGGAAGATCATTTTCCTATTGTAGGGACCCCCTGTCAGGTGCCGTGTGTGTTGGTGGGAGTGAGGGTACATTTGTTTCCGGTGCAGTGAGATGTCCGTGGGTTTCTAAGCGCTGGGGATCCATTTGGTTAAGACTATTTTTTTCCCCCTGTTGATGTTACAGGGAATCAATTTCACTACTGCACAAATACTTTCTCATTTTTTCCAGGGGACAAAACGCAAATGGAGGTTGGGGTCCTTGGGAGTGAGGGTACATGTTTTTGTTTTTTTGTTGAAGTGAGGTGTCCTTTCCAAGCGCTCGGGGATGCTCCTGAAAAACCCGCCAGGTGTTCATGAAGTTTACGAAGATCAACAACCTGGTGCTGGACTCCGACACTATCCCCGGGTGGTTCATGGCGATGGTCTACCTGCTCTTCGCCGCCGAGCCCTCGGAGCGAGCGATCGCATGTGACGCGTGCGGGGAACATGCATAGGGCACCCCCCGAAATGGGCGGGCGGTGTCCTGGTCTGCTCTTGGTTTCCCGTGGAACGGTCTCAAATTGGCACCCTCAAAAGCCAGACACACCCAGATGTTGAAAGTAAGTTTTTATCTTTTTTTTCTTTCGCCACTTCTGTCACGCGAAAGGTTGTATCCCAGATAGCCGAGCGAGTGAATAAATCGCATCCTCAGTTGGCTCAGACCTCGTTTGGCCACCAATTCCTCCCCAGCTTTCCTTCCGAAGTAGGGTGGTTTGGCCTAGATGGTTCTGTGCCATCGCATGTTGCACTTTCGTGACTTGCGTGCCTTACTACAAAACTCAAGTTGTGGGGGTGAATTGTTCCAAGCTTAAATACCTTCAATCTTGAAGTCCCTATTTTTCAGTTGTCCAAGTTCCCGATATGTGTTTTGGAGGATTGGGGGGGTTCAGACACAAATGAAGAAAGTGCTCAACTTGTGATTGGGGGCCCACAGGTCAAGGCGCTCATCTTGCTGGAGGAGCCCCCAACCTTGCGGAAGTCCAACTTGCCGCAGCGAGGCGCCAGTCACAGCAGCGTCGGCAGCCGCAGCAGCGGCGGCAGCGACGACAGCCAGAAGTCACGGGTGACCTGGCAACAGGCAGCGGCCTGCTGCGCCTGCTTCTGGCACCTTTGCGTGGGCTCCTCGCACAGCATTTCTTGTCTTGTTGGATGGAAAGACCACGGCTGGCTTGCAACTTTAAGGCTTGGGTGGGCGTCCAGTGGAAAAAACGATTCGTCCAGACAACGCTTGCTTGTCCTTGTTGCTGAGTGCGTTGCCCTTGAAATCCCCAGTTGAATTGCACCTCGCGCTTCCTTTTTGCAGGCGGTTTCAAGATGGAGTTGCACTGCGCCACGCCTGTTTTGCAAAAAAACAAATGGGACAGGCTTCCGACATAGCCGGCGGCCTTGGGGTTTGGAGCCTCTTCAATCAAAGGTTTCGGGCTAGGCTGCCCTTCAAGGGTTCCCTTTTTGGTTTTCCCCCTCCCCCAACCAACCAAAGGTGCCAATTGTTTTTTTCCGGGCCGTTTTCGCCAGGAAACGCCATGTGGGCTTGTCTTGGGACTCCGCCTCTTCGGAAAGCACAGTTTCTAGGTCCCCCAGTGCCCTTCTCTCCCGTTTCTTTTTTGGGCGGAGGGTTCCCCTAAGATCGACTACATGTTTTGCTTTTTGGTACCCTTGCCGGACCGGAGGACACCTTCGAAGGAGCCAATAGCGGACCCTCTTACCAAAAAGATGAATGCTGATTTAGCGTTTGCAACAAGGGTTGGGCGCTTCATTCACAAGCCCCTGGTTTGTTTCTCCCAAACTGGGGACCTCGAAAAGTTCCCAAAGTCAGGTGCCCAGCTGGCAGCTTGGCAGCTCTCCCAGGGGTTTTTAGCCCCAGCTGCGCCCCCGGTTTGGCTGCAGCGCATTCATGCTATGTGAGGCTGTGAACCTGCCTCTTTCGGCTGGGAACGATTCTCATTCAGAATTGAGCGGCCAAAGTCTCGCGAAGGATGAATCGTAGAGGGCGAAGCTGCCGCGTAGGCCTTTGGTCAAGAGCCCCAAGGCGCTCAGCCGCGACCAGTGGGCATAGTCGAATTACCGGCCTAAGCCGTGTTTTTTTTTGGCAACGTTCGGTGCCAGACCACAGCGGACGACCCTCGGCGATGCGCGAATTGGCGCGCAAATCGGCATTGACACCAGGTTTGTTGGTGGCGGTATGGAGGAATGGAAGGCTTGCTTGAGGATGTGGTGTTTTTGTAACATAGGAACCGTTTTTTTAGTAGTGCGTAAAGGGGTACCAACAGAAGGCCAACAATTACGTTTAGCGGTCCCCCATTTGGGAAACCGCCTTGCTTTTCCACTCGAGACCTACCTTGACTATCCTTGCCTCGTTCCGAGGCTCTGCAGTCAACACCGGAGTGGAGGTCTATGCGGTGAACACGCTCCAACAGGTTCTAGGCGGGAGGCTTCCCGAAAGATTGACAGCGAGCCCCAAAAGCGGAGATGGGTTGATCAATATTCCGTCCGGCCCCTAAATGACCATCACTTTTCCCATTCAAAGGTTGAAATACAATCTTTTTTGGTAGTTTCCCTATTGGTCATCCCATGTAAAGGACCCTTTGATCAACCCCCGTGTCGAACAACTTGGATTGGTGTCATTAAGCTTCCTTCTGTTCATGTTCAGGGCAAGCGATATGAGCCGGCCGGAGCTGGCTGTCGCTTTGTTGTCAGCGTGCTTGATCCTGTGAAGCTCACGCAAGTTGGCAGCCTGCGTTCTCAACGGTTCGCAGCCTACCTGAGTCAACCAGATGCACTGCAAAGAGGGAAGAACCTACTCTGGACACGCTGTGCACATGGCATGGCAATGGCCTTGTTGCAGTGTGGTGCTCATTGTTGGATGCAAGCAACCAAAGGTGTTTGCAACAAACATCGTTTTTGGAGGGTGCCCTTGACGGTGAAAAAGCAGATAAGGGCTGACTAAACTTTCCCACCTTGTCTGAAATGGAAACTAGCCATGGCAAGGGGATTCAGGGGTGAGTAGGTTAGCATCAATCAGAGGGGAATTACAACTCAGATCAGCTGAACACGACAAATGGCCAGACAAGAGTTGAGCTGAGATGAAGCGAATGTATTTTGACTGCTGCACTTTATGTTGGAGGACCCACACTGGGCTGTGTGTTTGTCCAACCCTTAAACTCGGTCGCGCATCGCCACATCCCCATGAAGGTTGGTCTATCTCTAGCAGCGCCCTCTTCGTGGCCGTGATCATGCTGCTCTGCGGGCTGTTCAACGCCAGTTGCCTGTCTGAAAGCAACTGAGTCTACGGGGTGACAACCGAGCATCTGGCTGACTAGCTTTCCAAACCTTGAGCCACAAATTGGGAAGTTGCTCAACCGAGCAGAGTCGCGCCCCATGTTGGCAATTTGGCAAGATCAGGCTTGTGTTTACTCCCGCAAGTGCTGGCACAGTCGTTTCGTTTTGCAACTTTATCATGTGCCCAGGCTGTTTTGTTGCTTTTCGCCCAGGCGAAGTTGTTTTCCCTGTCCCTCACCGTTCGTTTTGATTTTTTTGCCCTGGGGCGGCGGGCGAACAGGGCCAAGGGAGGCCTGTGGCGCTTTGCCAGGCGGACACTTCAACGAAGCAACGATCTATCTTGGGAGGTCTTGCAAATGCACGTGGCATGCCAGTGCGCCTTTTGGGTTGTTGTTGTTGTTTTTTTCCTAAGCCTTGTAGCGAGTTAGCTGGTTAGGTTGCCTAGTTCTGGCCAGCTACTTAGCAGTATAGTTAGTTTGCTAGCTGGTGAGGTTAGCCAGCTATCTAGAAGTTTGGAAGTACCTAAGCTACTTAGCCAGTTGATAGCTAAGCTAGCTGGCAGGATGGCTGGATCGCTAGCTTTCCAGCTAGTGTCCACTTAGCTGGCTGAGTAGATAGATGGTTCGAGTATTAATGACTTATCTACTTCGGTCAGCTAGCCAGCTGATAGATAGTTACTAGCTAGGTAGATAGTTAGCTAGCATACTAGCGAGTTCGTTAGCTAGTTCGCAGTTGCCTAGCTAAATAACGAACCAGTTAGATAGACTTCACATTGCGAGTGGTTGTTGGCTGACCCAAACATCCGAGCGTTCACCGTGTGACTTGCGCAAGCTGAATTCTGTCGCGAGAAAGGCGGCACTGCCGAAGGGCGGCAGTCGCGTGTTCCAACTTTGTGATTAGTTGCCCAACCCAGGAAGAGACAGCGAAGCTCATGTAGCCCCAGTACCACGATTCTTGTTAAACGTCCCTTGACAATACAAGAACATGCTTTTCGCTGGTTATAGGTGACTGTTTTGCCAAGGGCTCTAGTTTCATCTCATGTCTTTAGCTGCGGTTTGCAGCTCGTTTGCCTTTGGTTTTTGCCAGCTGATTGATCACGCACATTGAGCTTTTTTTTTCAAGCTCACTTCCTGAGTTCCTGAACTTTAAGCTGTTTGGGAAGATCATTTTAGTGTCAAGCACACATTATATAAGTTTGGGTCCTTTTTCGGACCAACTCAGAAAAGCAAGGGACCTTTGAAGTGCAGAGGCTCTGCTTGGAGTCGAGTCTGCCCAAACTGGCGACGTCTGAGGCCTGGGGCGGCTGCTGCGCTTGGTGCCCTGCAGCGACAGCAAGGGCCTGGTGGCGGGGGACGCCTCGGCGTGCCTCGCCTGCGTGCTGCTCTTCCACTTCGACGTGCGCCTTGGCTTCGGCTTCGGCTTGGACGAGCGAAATTGCTCAATAGCTCACATGCGCCACACTTGGGCAGTCCCAACCAGAAATGGCTTTACTGCCGGGGTTTGAGTATGACTCACAGTGCATTCTTGCCTGAGTCCCGCAAAAGGGCCCCACAAGTAAGAGCTTCACTTTTTTCTTTTTTTTTGTTTCGGGGGGGTGGTGTTAGTCGTCTTGAAATGATACGGCCAGGTGTATCTGGTTGAAGGTGACACCTCTAGCGCCTGGCAAGTAGTAGGTGGTCTGAACCCAGGGCGAGCGGGTTGACTGGGGGCACGCTCCAGGCCCTGCTGCCAAGTCCATTGCCCAAGCAATCTCGCCCAGTAGTGCCCTTCTCTCCCGTTTCTTTTGTGGGGGAGGGTTCCCCTACTAAGATAGACTACAGAGGGAAGGGTACCCTTATACTGACCTCTCTAGTGGAGGACCTAGATCTGCCAAACTGCAAGCCGTTATTGCCAGGTCCCATTTTGACAACCCGGAAGTAGCCGAGCTGCCATTGGCAACAGATGGATTCAATGGGCTTCCACTGAATAGCCCCTAACCCCTAACCACTGCCTCCAGAGGAAAGTGGGCTGTGCAAGCGCCACAGAGTCAACATAGAATGGGGGACCACTGCCTTCAGAGAAAAGTGGGCTGTGTAAGCGCCACAGAGTCAACATAGAATGGGGGTGGGGTATGCGCTTCATGTTCCCTTGGGCATTGTGGTGAGAGGATAGTGCAAGTTATCTTTGAACTGCTTCCTGGGTGCACCGTCCCTTTTGACCAAGCATGAGTTCTACGCATGTCTTTCTCTCTCGCTCTCTCTGCTGTCTCTCTCTCTCTCTCTCTTTCTCTCTCTTTTTCCCTCTCTCGCCCAATACTTTCGCAGTCTCTCTTTCAGGCACCCATTTGTTCCTCGAAACCTCCATCGAGTGGACTGATGTGGCTATCGTCTCTTCACCAGGTGTTCATTTGATGTTCAAACTGCTTCAACTCCAAAATTTGATGTTGAAACTGCTCCAGCTCCAAACCAACGCACGTGCATGGAGTTCTTGCCGCAAGTCCGGGCCTTAATTTCGACCACCCGAGGCACGCCGTGTCGGGGCAGATCTGTTTGATGGCTCTGGGCCTGCTGCTGGTGCTCATCGTTTGCTGCCTGCTGCGAGCCTTTGCGATGAGCATCGCCACCAAGGTGAGGAGCAATGCCTCAGTTGTTCAGTGGCACCTTTTTCCCCCTTTTTTCTTTGCGGTGCTGCCCCACTAAAAATGGTCTTCCCAAAGAAAGGTTCCCTTTGTTTTCCGGGTCACTGAACAACTGAGATGCAGTCCGCGGAGGGCATGGGAAGAGTGGAGTAGAAGTCGGACTTTTCACGCTGATTGGAATATCACCTGTGGTTCTGTTTGCTCTGGTGCTTGGTGGTGATATGGGGTGATGCTTGAATGGGACAGAACAAATTGGAACCCTAAGGCTTTGGCAGGGGCTTTTGCCCCAACTGTTGGTGAGAAACCGGTGATACACGGGTGATGCGACTCCGCAAAAGTCCGAATCTGAAAGCCCAAGCCATTTTTTTCGAGCATGATTTGCCGCTTTGCGGAGTGGGCAGAGTGGGCAGAGGGCTTTGGCAAGTGACGGACTTGAGCTTGGTCTTTTGTTGGACACCCAAAAGAGCGCGACGGGTGTTCCTTTCCATTTTTCCCTGTCAAAACCACCGCAAAAGAGGGTAGGCTCAAAGATTAAAGACGGTACTTGGGATTTCGGTGTTCCTTTTCCCCTTACCACCCCAAAAGAACCGGAATCGCCTCAAATCCAAAAAAAGCGGACACCGGCCGCGAACCGAGCGAGACCGAAGCCGTCTTCAGGTGGCCATGGGTCAAAATCCCGTACTTGCAGTGAACATCCCAATCCCCACTAAAATAGGTTCTAAAATGCGTGGTGACCCAATCCCCAAAATGGGATCCCGTTGCTAGGTAGGTCCCCCAGTAGTGCCCTTTTACCGTTTCTTTTTTGGGGGAGGGTTCCCCGAATAGACTACAGCAACAACGCTCTCTACTGGAGGACCTTGACACATATTCTTCGGACGCTCTGGTACATGTTGCTCCTGAATAGAAACCCTGCAAAACCTTCAAATGGCCCTGCACAATTTGGAGAACAACACCTCACCCAATCCCCAAAAAAAAGAACCCATTGCTAGATCCCCCAGTGCCCTGTTTCCCCTGGGTCTTTGATTTTCCTGAAAATCCCAAAACGGTTTTGACAACAGGTGGTGCCGGACAGCTTCACGCAGACGGTGGCCACCTGGGGCGCGCTGGCCATGTCCCTTGGCCGCGGAGGCGGGGCGCTCGTCGGCGCGGCGCTGGACGTGGACTCCTTCGCCCCGGCGACTTGGCACTTACGGAGACGACGTCCGTTGGGGTTTGGGGGAGGGGGGGAGGCCGTGCTGGTGGTTCGGTTTGGGGGTTTAGCTGGGGTGGTGGAGTTTCGGGATTTGAGGTGTTTGGGGTGTTTGGGGAGTTTGGAGGTTTTTGGGGAGTTTGGCAAGTTTGGCAAGTTTGGAGGTTTTCCGGAGTTAGTTGGGGATGGTTGGAGGGTTGTGTTCGTTTTGCTTTGTGCCAAAGATAAGGAAGCCACCAGGGGATGGATTGTTTCTTTGGCGGGGCAGGGGTTTATTAGGATTGTTGCACCTGAATGGCCCAGCTTGTTTGTGTCTTTTTGGTGGCCGGGGGATATTTGTTGGTCATGGCATATAAGGGTATATACGAGCCAGTATCGGTGGTACCTGCAGAGTTGTTTGCTTTCCTTTGGATGGCCGCGTGAATTTTGAGGTGAGTGGGTCAAAGGATGTTGTTTTCACTTTGGACACCTTTGAACCCCGTGGGCGTTTTCAGGGAGTTGATCAAGGGGGGAACTTGTCCCCTTGGCCCTCCTTTTGCACCCCCTTTGAGGAAGACACAGGGTTTTGGTGCGACAATGTCTCAAAGTAGTCTTGCAGATTGACTCCTGTAAAGAAAACGACTCGAGGGTGTTCACAGTTGGGTGACAGTTGATGCACGATTGCTTATTTTTGGGTTAAGTTATGCACTTTACTTACCCACATAAAGGGAAATTACCCTAGTGTCCACACTTGTTTAAGTCGCTCTGAGCCCACTTTTGCGGGAGAAAGATCGATCCGCCTAAAAATTGCACTACCTTCGCCATTGTTGAAGAACTGCAACACTGTTAAAGGTGTAAGACTTAAAATATCCATTGGGAGGATGTTTTTTTTGCAAAACAAGAAGCAAGCTGAACGCAGGGATCTGAGGACTACGTACGCTGAAAGCGGTTGCATTCTTGACTCATTCTTGACCTTGCTTTTTTAGAGACCGGTGGAATTAACACTTCTTAGAGGCACACACACACACCAGCGTGGAACGAGCTCTTGGCATCTCTTGCCCGTCTTGATCCGGCCTTCAACGGGAGGTGCTGCTGTGCCTCTTCGCCTCAACTTTCATGGTGGGCCTGGCCTCGCGCCAGCATATGAAGACGGAGCACAAGGCGAGCTAGGCGCGAGGCAACGTCCCAACGTCCACGTAGCCTCCAAGTTGAATTCGCGAAGTCCGGGTAGGGACCAAAGCTGTAAAGAGTTCCCAGCCGCTTTTGGCCGACCGAACGGTCGGCCTATTCGCCGGGCTGCGCTGCCTGTTTACATGAAAGCTGCGATTCAAGTATAGGGGAAGAGACTTCCTGTGTTCAGATGTCGCCACAACTCGCCTGCAAAATGAACTGGGCTTACATGTGCCTTACCCGTGAGGAGGGTCCCATACTTGGTTCAATTGCGGCTTTCGAGTTATGGCCAGATTTCCCGAGATAACATTGGTGCCAATCGGTTGGCAAGGCCCTTCGAGCCGGATGATTCTGCAAGGTGGCCAGGGATAAGCTAGCCCCCCCAAATAAGCCAAATCAGAAGTGGAAGGATTTGTTTCTGTGAAGCACAAAGAAAACTCGGAGTTATGTTTTTTTAGTCTTCAACAGTGGACGCAGCCCGGCATCTGTTTAACACTGTGGCTTAACATGTACAGCTCATGTTTCGTGCGAAGTGCCAGGAGTGCTTGCCGTTCGAAGGTGATCCCTCGTTGGTTATGAAAAGGATCCCGCTTGCAGCAATTTGGGTGTGTCGTTCTTTAGGGAACCCCCAAATTGTTGCTTCCGTCTGGTTTTCCTTCAAAAACCCCAAAAAAAACGGGGAGCCTCAAAAAAGACAGAGCCATTTCCCAAGAGGAGACTATGGATTCGGATTGGCCAATACTTCTGGTGCGAATGTGGCTGCATTGTACAGACCGCAGATGCGAACTCGGATCTGACTCAGCCCTGGCAGGGCTAGCAATAGATTCCAGGTCTGTCGGCTCACGCGCAGGTTGCAAAATGGCATGTGCGTACATCGCTGCTGTGGGACTCTAGGTGCCCATATGGGCAGGAAAAAATGCGCCTCGCCAACACTCCCTTGCAAAATGGTTTGCGGGTTCACCACTTGTGTTTGGTGGCTTTGCTTTTCTTTGGAGTCAAAGCGACGCCCGCTCTTCTGGATGTTTCCCAATTGGAAGACCCACATGTTGCACATGTGCGATCGCCACCACAACCCACGAGCATTCTATTTGTTCATGGGGAATTCGTTTGCAGCGCTTTGTTGCACTGCCTGAGTTCCTGGACTTGATATTAGTTTTGGGAAGTCCGCTTTAGGGGCAAATAGAAAGCTTGGACTTGTTTGGCCAGTAAGGAAGTGTGAGCAGTCTAAGCCCCTGTGGTGAGTGGTATTCCCTTCGAAAGGGACGCAGGTCCCCCGGGAGATTTGACTCAGAGGTTTACCCGACCCACTTGGTTGAAAGTGAAGGGCCCACGTCAAAGATGAGTGGTTTTGCACTGGAGTAACTTCTTTTGCAATCAGCATGGGGTGTTTGAAAGCACACCCCCGAGTTGACTAGTCGCCGTTGTGCTGGCGTGCGTTTGCTGTCGGCCTCACAAGGCACAAGCAAGCATCACATGGCTGGAGCAGCTCATGTGCGCGTTGAATAAGAATTGAACCCTCGGCCGCTTTACGCACCAGCAATCTCAGGCTTTGCACTGGGTTTCTTGAAGAACCATCTGGATGTGTTTTCGCTGCAAGAGTCGGGCCCGCGGGCCCGCGATATTTCTCCGCCATGTCGTGTATCAACAGCGAGTACAGCAGCGCGGACAACGACCTCGACGGCTGCGATGCAGAGGATCGGGGGAGGTCGGGTGTCCGTCTTAAAGTAACAAATTGCGCTCCCAAAGTTTGTGGCGTGCCCTTTGGTTCCTTTGCAAACAATTACCCAAACAGGGTATTTTGAACAGAAGAGACCCATGATGTGACCAGTGAAAGTTGCCCAACTTCCCAGAATCCAAGTCTGTTTGGATTCAGCCTCATGTTACAAAATCCTCCGCTAGCGAAGCGGCGAGCGCTGAATAGCTTTGCACGAATCTGCATGAAGTGCACAACTACACTCCGGCAGCCTTCGCATCCCAAGCAATTTCCATGTGGGCGGAACTACAGGAGGGCCGGGCCCTAGTGCGACCTCGCCCACGATCCAGGTTTCTTCTATGGGGAACCCTCGGTTGTGCTGACTTTATTCTGATTCACCCAGACAACCCTTAAAACTGTCTTCCAGCATGCCGCCAGTCAGGATCCATGGTTCACGGGTGAGAGGGTGGTGAGTATTCTTGTTTGCTCCAGGGCTTTTTTTAAGCTGGAAGACCCTAATTTTTGGGTTCGGGAAATATATTTCACCCAGAGTCGTATTCTTGGATGTGGGATGGGTGAAAATAAAACCACCAGGGGACCGTAGGTTTTAGTCTTTGGTTCCATTTACCAGAGCAAGCCATGACATGGTCAGCCCCATGTCTTCCCACCAAACATGGTCAACTCCAAGCGTTCCCTAATTTTTGGGTTGGTGAAATAGGTCACCCAGAGTCGTATTCTTGGATGTCGTCCCAAAACTGGTCAACCCCGAGGGATTCCCCGCTACCAGTCCGGGTCGCCTTGATTTGCAGGGCCTGAAGGAGGCCATCAAGAAGGGTAACTCCGAGCCGCTTGGGACGAAGCTTATCTAGGTTCCCCAGCTAGGCGCGCTTTTTGACCGTTCCTTTTTTGGTTGGAAGGGTTACCCTACTAAAACTGACTACAGAAAAAAGTTGGTACGCTTATTCTAAGCTTTCTATTGGAGGACCTAGTTGTCGCCAGGCACGGAATCTTGTCACCAGTAGCCGCTTGGCGGCTAACATGGTAATGTCATTCTTTATGCAATCGTTCAATTGTATACACCACACATATGTTTTATCAAGCACTGGTTGGAGCTTTGTCTTGAATGCACTCATGTGAGTTCGATATGACAAAATGGTGCAAGACGAGCCCACAAGGTTGTCCCGAAACGCTAATGCAAAAATGACGCACTTAGAATAAATCGCCATGTGTGCTCGCTGGCCAAGAGACGAGCATTCGGCTTGCTTCACATCGCTTTCTTGCTTCTGCTTAGCACGTGAGCTGGGAAGGAATACCAGCGAGTACTACACCTGACGCCCCGGGAGGGCACTTGTTACATGTGCTGTGTCAGAAAAGGAAAAAACAAAAGAACATCCAACTCGAGAAAGCCGAAGAGCCAAACAAAATACAGGACTATGTCACATAGACTATGTGAGCTGTCCTGCCTTGGGCATAATCCAGGTTTTTGAGTTTCTCGAGTTTGTGTTTGCATTTCTTGGAAAAGTATGACCCACCTCGAGAAACCAAAAAAGAAAGCAAGACACTGTCAGCTGTCCTGACTTCGGGGCATGCCTTGCACACCTTTTTCTTCTCCGGGATTGTTACTTTTTGTTGCGTTTTCCCGTTTCCGGTCCTTTGCAAGAGCATGTGTTTTGAAGTGGGCTTGCGTAGTTCAAACCCAGCCCTAGTAGAGTAAGGCCTTAGTAAATTATTTTCAGTTTTCGCCAGAAATTTTCAGTAGAATTGGATACATGTATCAATTAGGAAGGAACTCAGAGGTCCCAAGTGTGTTGAATAAATTGTGTTTAAATGTTGACTGAGAAAATAAATCCAGTGAAACATTTAGTTTGGAATAGAAGAGTCATTGTTTGAATAAAGAAAAGAAACAAACACAACTCTGATGGCAGCCGTTCCTTATTCTATGCTTGTGGTAGGAATTTATTAGAACTTGACAAACACAGCAATTAGATCCTCAAATGGTTGAATAATTAGATCCCCAAATGGTTGAATATATTGTTTCAATGTACTGAAGTTTAAAGACAGCTCTATTGGCAACGAAGCCCTGTGTATCATGTAATTTGACATAGAATACTTAGGATTCAAATTCTGATTTCATACAGAAATGTTGCTTGGATTATGTCCTTGTTCAATTTTCTTCGACATTGAGTAGGATATAGCAAATATCAAGTGGGAATCATAAAGACAAAATCAATTTCTATGTTATATTAGAATTCGGATTCGACTTTATTCTTTTTTAAGTTGAAATCTACACAGGTTTGTTTTCCCCAATATCTGTGCATCCCGCTCTCTATGTGAACAATACTTCAAGCGTGACCCTCATTTTGCCTCCCCAAAAAAGCAAACGCATGTAAGACATATCTAGAGGTTGATTCCCCATTATTTTCAACTTCTTTCCAAAAACCAGCTGTTTCCTCTGGATGTTGGGTGGTATTTTAGAAAGAAGGATGCCAGGAAAGAATGGGGAAGGTACCCCTACAAAATAGATTACAAAACAGCTAGCCAGAGACAGCTAAATAGCAGGCAGTATGAAACAAGGAACATGAAGGCCAATGGTCGTAGGTCAGCACATGCACGTTTTGCGTGACGGAGACACTGAGGCTAGTGGGCAAGCTTCTGGATAACAAGGCCGACCTGCAGCATCGCTATGTGAACGGCCTCACCCCGTGCCTTGACCTGAAAGCTATTTGGGGCGAGATTATATACCCATCAATGGGCGGTTTGCCTGGACTGAAGAAAAGGTAAACCCTCACAAGTCAGGCAGGTTCAGTGTGCGAGATCCAGGGTTTGCCTGGATTGAAGAAACTGTATCCTCACAAGTTCTTTGGTGCATTTTGCTTGGATGTTAGGTTAACTGTTTGCCAACTAATGGGTTTTCTATTACACCACTAAAAGTTATACTTTTAGCAGGGGAGCAGAAAGCAACCGAGAGTTGGAAGGTTAAGCAAGCTTGGAGTTGTTGCCATGACTTGAAGCAGCGGCAGCTGCCGTGAAGGGTGTAAGCACGAAGAGGTTGTTTGCTTCAAACGCTCGGACATCAGTTGGCGACACCATGGGACTCAGCCATAGTGCCATGGGACTCACCATGGGACACTAAACCAGCTCAGCCACCAAGGATTATTGTGAAGGATTCCCTGAGTTCAGAAAAGGGTTGATGCTCCATGTTCCCATTGGGGAAACCTCAAGCAGCGGACGCCCTACCCGCGTCCCCTCAAAGATGAAGGGCATGGTTTGGCTAAGGCCATTTGTTTTATTGGTGCTTGGCCGCGTTTTGGCGGCTGCGGATCTGTCCCTCGCATCCGGTCCGGCGACAACACGTTCACATTTACAACTTGCTGCGTCTTACAACTTGCTGTGTTGAATCCCTGAGCATTGCAATCCGTGACGAGATTCCCCTCGCCTAGTCTAGTTTGTTTGATTGTTTGCTTGTGTGTTTGCGTTTTTGCTTGCTTGCTTGCTTGCTTGTTTGTTTGTTTGGTTGGTTGGTTGGTTGGTTCTTTGAGTTTCGGTGTGTTTGTTTGTTTGTTTGTTTGTTTGTTTGTTTGTTTGTTTGTTTGTTTGTTTGTGCTGTGCTGTGCTGTGCTGTGCTTTGCTTTGCTTTGCTTTGCTTTGCTTTGGTTGGTTGGTTTGTTGGCTGGCTGGCTGGCTGGCTGGCTGGCTGGTTGGTTGGTTGGTTGGTTGGTTGGTTGGTTGGTTGGTTGGCTGTTTGGCTGTTTGGTTGCTTGTGTTTGTCTGTGTATGCATTTATTTGTGTGTTTGTTTGTTTGCTTGTTTGCTTGTTTGTTTGTTTGTTTGTTTGTTTGTTTGTGTGTTTGTTTGTTTGTGTGTTTGTGTGTTTGCTTTTTTGTTTGCTCACTCGCTCGCTCGCTCGCTCGCTTGCTTGCTTGCTTGCTTGTGTGTTTGTGTGGTTGTGTGGTTTGTTTGTTTCTTTGCTGGTTTGCCTGTTTGTTTGTGTCTTTGTTTGTTTGCTTGTGTGTTTGTTTATTTGTTTGTGCTTTTGTGTTTTGCTTGCGTGTCCTTTTGTTTTTTGTTGGTTTGTTTGTTTCTTTGTTTGTTTGTTTGATTGATTGTTTGATTGTTTGTTTGTTTGTTTATGTGGTTGTTTCTTTGTGTGTTTGTGTGTTTTGTGTCTGTGTGTGGTTGTTTGTGTATGTGTGTATTTGTCATTATGTAGTGGTGTATTGGTGTGTGTTTTTTGGGGGGTTTGAGTAAAGATGTGGTTTTGGGACCAGAGGCCGCTTTTCACCCTGCATGATGCAGGCCCAGCCGCAACTCAGAAGGGCCAAAAGCACACAATCCGAGAAAAGTGACCAATTTGTCCTTCAAGTTGGTATTCAAGATGAGTTTAACAACTATCAAATGGTTTTGACACAGGGAACCCTGTGGGCCTTTGCGCAACTATGGGACCATGGTCACACTTTGTAAGGGTCACCATTTTGTCCTTTGATGTTTCGCATTCCCGAGTCTTTGGTTTGTAGGCTTCGCTTTGAGCAGCTCCTTTTTGCCACGCGGATGTGCTAAGTGCGGTACTCTTGTTTCTTGTTTTGTTCTGAGTGTGGGGTTGTCTTTTGCAAGGTTGGACCCCCACGAATCGCTCGGTTTCAAAAGGACACCCACCCATTTTGAGGGTCCACCATGTTGAGACAACCCCCGTGTAGAACATGTTGGAAATGTGCGAAGTGTCCGTCCCTCGCAATGCACGGGTTCTGCCGTCCCTGGCAAGGCTGCATTTGGCCGGGGCGCTCGGGGTGCGCAAAGGCAGCATCAGGAGGGAGGTGCGACCAAGTTTGGGGAACTGTTCAAGAGAAAATCAATAAGAGAGCTACATTCTGCCCCTCAGCTTTGTGGAAGCAAGCAAAAGGTGTGACTGGGGTCTTAGAGCTTGAGTCGCATCTCTGTTTGTTAGGGACATCTTGAGCCAAGATTTGGACAATGACTACGACCCCAAGTAGATCTGTTGATTCTTGAGCCCAGGCGGCTGGGGTCTCAGTCGGAAACATGCGGAGCGGAGCCCGAGCAAGCGTCGAGACCGGAGCTGGACCCGATCCAGGTCCGGCTGCTCCAATCGGATTAACTTGTTGCATCCATCCAACGCCGAAAAAGCGAGGACCCAGTCAGTGCTCCTGCATATCAAGTCAAGGCTTGATGGCATTGTGTTGGCTCGTAGCAAGTTCGTCCGTGAAGGTGGTGTTGAAATATTGGTGCGTGGAATGAGATGCAACCATGGGCTATGGATAAAAACGAACGATGACTTCAGAGCGCCTAGTATGAACCCAGCTGATTGGCAAAAGTGAGCCAGTGCAAACGGGCGAAACCACGCAAGACTGATGATCGTCAGCGTGTCGCCAGAAGCGGCCGTGTCTCTGAAAGGGAGCACCCGGCTTGGCAGCTGTTGTGAAAGGAGCAGAAGATCAGAATCAGATTTGTTGGAGAGGGCTCCTTGGAAGTTCAACTACCAAAACAAGCTGGCAAGGTGCTCCCTTTCCGCCACTGGCCACTGGAGGTCTTTCCACCGGCTGTCAGAATCATCTCAAGAGGTCATTGTCCTTCTCCTCAGCCGCTCAGAACCCGTTGCCCCAGCCCACGCACGAATCAAGGAATCTACAAGCTGGGATGTTGCGTGTGACTGCCCCTTGACACAGAAAAAGAGACAGCCTTTGTAATGGCCGCCATTCTCGATGGCCGACCAACTGAGTCCTCCCTTGTTGTGGGTGTCAAGTTTCATAATATATAATTGACACCCGGTCCGAACAGCGAGGCTGAGTTTTGTTTCTGGTTGCAACATGCCGACCCCTTCCAGATAAGTGCATTGATCCTGGCTTGGATGAACAGATGCGGGCGGGTGCAGCACAAGGAATAAAGATCGCAATTCTGTAACGCATTTTTTCCAGAATCTATGGGTGAACGGTAGGCAACGCACCTCCCCATGATGTTTGGTTCTCAGTTTGTTTCGTTGATCGAGGCCGAGCCCGGTCACTGAGGTCTTCTGTTTGAGGCGCAGCTTGCCGAGGTCTTCCAAACATAAACCCTCAAGACGTGCAGATGTCGTTGGTGTTGTTTTAAGAAAACAACATGTGTCTGAAGGACAAGAAACAAACAAACATGTTCGTCATTATTGTTGTGATCAGTGTTATTATTAGTGACATGCAGGAATACACCAATTAGTATCAGTATTATTAATTAGTGAATTGTCTTCATTATGTTTTGTAATGTTTAAGCGGTTGCGGTTTAGGTTGGATGATTCTTTGCTTATTCAACATTTCACAGTATGTTTGTTTGCGTGGTTTCAATCTGGCCCGTGGGGCGTCCGATGCGTTTTCTTTTTCAAAGATATTATCCATTTGTTGCTTCGCATCATTGCCGTTATTTATTATTGCTAGTATTATATGTATACACATACAAACACATGTTTGTTGTTGGAAAACACATTCCTAAACCACAAAACAAAAGAAGCACTGACATCCTGAAATAAGGTCGAGCGTGTTTCAGCGAGCCTCTCAGGCGGTTGTGCACGAAAAGCTGGACGTGGCGGTGCCCCCGGATGTGAGCGGTGAATATTTGGCTGCGTTTGAGGCGGTTTCCGAGCGATTCCCTTGTTGAAGCCTCCAAAGAGTGGCAGCTGCGTTTGTGTTTTTGAGGTACCTTTTGTGTGTCACGTGTTCTTGTTTTTTTTGTTGGGGGGGGGTCCGAGGCAGCCCTTTTCGGAACTTCCAAAAGCGATTTACTTGATCAACTTTTGAGGGGGAAATCCAATGACCCCTATTTTTGGGGTGCCATATCGAAACAACCATTTTTGGGGGGGTCCGTCTACTTTGACACATGCCCATTGAATGTCATTTTCGGCAGTCAAGAAATGGCATAGAGCCAGTAGAGAAATCAGATGGAAACACGGCAAGTATTGACCGTGGCTCGGGCACCTTTTTGCTAGAACAAGGTACTCTTACGGCAGTCGTATCAGGACTCCGCGCAAGACATTTAGCTTGAACGCAAAAGAGGGCCACCCTCTCGCCAACAAACATGGAAGTGCGCAGGGGCCCTTTTCCAACAGGACGTGTGTGTTTCAAGAGGGTTCTCCACATGTTTGGTTTTTGGAGCTGCCCTTGTGAATGAAACCAAACCGATAGTCAACACAACTAACTTCTGAAAAATAAAAACTAGAATGTGAGTACGGGTTCCAAAGCACACCAGTCAAGCTAGCGCTTCTAGACTTGAGCTCAATGCCTACGCCAAGCAGATTCCCAGTTATACTTGAGCTCATTCCCGCATATGTCACTGCAACGTGCTGACAAGGTCAAATCTTTGGGCCGTTTTCTGTGTCATACGAACCTTCAGCGCCTACCCAACCTAAGCAAATCCAAGGTTGCATAGCAGAGGCCCTACACCCACTCACTTCACGTTTCTTGCTGGTTCCCAGCCATCCTTAGGTGTTCAGTTTGTTTTGTTTAGTTGTTGTTGTTTTTTGTTTTTTTTTGTGGGGTTCGGTGGTAGTTTCCACTAAAGCCACTAAAAGTTAAACCTGTAGCTGGGGATTGCAAACGGACGGCTCAGGTTTTTCTTGTGCATGGCAACCTTTAGTTCCAGGCCAGGTGCATGCGGATTGGTAGAACCAGCGTCCATTTGCTGGCCACATCTGGCCACAAAGTCACAGCGTTTGTGATTACTTTGTGGCCTGCAAACCCAACTGACACTGTTCGCGGAGCCAAAAAAGAAAGGTGGTAAATATGCTGCTCCTTGGAGACAGCATGTTTTGCCTGAGATGTATACCCTGGGAGCCAAGAATAACCCACACAAACCTTTCATAGAAACCAGCTACAGGAAAGTCTACAGGAAACTCGCCAAATTCCCACCAAAATCGGGGGTTTCCTGTAGAAAATCCTGTAGTTGGTTTCTTAGAACCTTGGCAACCGCATGCCCTTTGAAGCCCAACACCTCCGCTGGAGAGCGCTCGAATCTCTCGAGGTGCGTCTACTCCTGCGCCGCAAGGCAGACCCCTTGGCGGAGACCCAGGAGACTTCCAAAAAGCGGCTCTATGGCCCTTTGGTCGTGTGGCTTCCCTGCCCTTTGGTGGACCCTCAGTTGGGATGCGGGTATGGGTCAAAATTCAACTCCAGGGGAGGGCAGGTTTTTGTCATTGGTTCCATATACCAGAGATCCATTTTGCGCACCTATTTTTTACCCACAGCCATGTGGTGCCTTGGTGACTTGGTGCCTTTCTGGCTGGTTGGTGGTTGGTTGAACCAAAAGGACCAAGCCTGCTATGAATGTAGCCACCTCACGAAAAGCCCACGAAGGCTTCTTTCTGGGGCCGGGAGGTCCCTGATTTAATTTTGGATGATAGTGATGCACTGAGGGACAGACGACGAGGTCATGCGAGCATGGTGGAAGATCCCTTGAGTGGTTTACCCGAGACACTTGGACAGGGTTCTCCCATCGCAGTCCTGAATGGTATTGAGGGTGAGCGTAGGGGTCCCAGGCCCCTGGAACATTGCACGTTGTGTTGTTTGAGTTCTCATGCTTGAAGATCACGCCAGGAGCACTGCGGGTTTTTTGGGCAGCCCCATGTTGGACTACTGAAGCTGCAACTCCTTTGGCGAAGGGGTTAAAATTTAGCGGTTGGCAGAGTCTACGGCCCCGGTTTAATTATTCTGAAGAGTTGCAAAGCCTGTTCCCCTAACGTTGGAAGATGTTAGAGCCTAGCTAAAAGGAAATCATGTTGCACTGGTGCATTCATTTCAACAAGATAAATTGTATAACAGAGGAGGGGACTCGTTTTTTAGTCAAGGAGAGGGTATTTCATAGCCGCTCATAGCAGTCCACTCTTCCCTTTGGCCGGAAGAGTTGGGAGATGCACATGAAAATCGTTCTTCTCGGTTGCGTCGGTTTGTGGCCCCGCTCCCCTGGCTGATTCTATTTGTAGAGCCCGTTCCTGAGCGGTTGGAAGAGTTGCCAGGCAGATGGATCCTCTCTTCCCTAGATTTCGTTGGAGTACAAGTGATACATCCGACACCCCGCTGTGCTGGTTTTCCACATGACAGGTGTGTGGTTGTTCGATATTCAGTGATATCTCAGCTGCGTGTCCTCCTTTTGCCGTGTCAGTGTTCAACGGCAGAGTTGACTCATGCAATTGGGCCCGGCTGCTACCGGTGGTTAGATCCAGACAGCCGTGACCAAAAGCTGTGACAGACAACCGCCAGTGGCCGGACCTAGACAGCCAGGCTTAAGGCTTAGTAACATGTAAAACGGACATGGATTTGCTTCGTCCTCATCTTTCACACTATTTTCCAGAAGTTGCTTTAAAGCCGAATCTGCAAGTGTTCCGTGTTGGTGAAATCGCCCTCCGGCGGCACGATCCGAGGTGAATGCACCGCCCGGATATGCTTCTAGCGCCATCATGGCTGTAACTTATGATATTCGCTGAATTCCCATAAAAAGTGGACCTCGGATATTATATAATGATTGTTCCAGCCCCAGGTTGCATGACATGCTGTAAAAGTGTAAGTGGTTGACATATCGATCCACTTGGGGGCCCTTGCTTTTCGCAAGCATTCATTCAGACTGGCCTACTTGAGGCTAGCTCCAATGAAGCTGATATGCTTCCAAGTTTCAACCCAAGTGAGACAGCACGTGGAAATGGAAACGGGAGTCGGCGTCAGGACGAATGCCACTTGTCGCCCATGCAGCTCGCGGAGGTCCAGGGGCAACAGGCGCATGTGGCGAAAGCTGCGGCAAAGGAAACCGAGGGAATGCGACCCTGCCTCAAATGGAAGCTGGCGGATGTGACAGGGTTTGGAAGACTCTAGAACCACCTTCCTCCACTCGTGGAAGCTGACCTGAGGGTGTTCGAAGACTACTTTCCTTCAGGCGAACCACCCTGGTCCACTTCCAGGATTGATGGAAGGTGGGTAGCCGAAATGGAGCGGGAGGGACAAAAACGACAATGTTTGACGAAACTCTCTGTTTAACACCTTGAAACCGAGGCATGCAGAATGTGTGGGGTCGCGTGTGGAACGGGGGTACTGTTGATTGTTCGTGGCATGTTGTTTATTGTTCGAGGCTAATGGTTTCTTGTTGGTGATTTGTTGCTTGATGTTGGTTTGTTTGCGGTCTGTTGCTTGTTGTTCATTGTTTGTCGTGTGCGCGTTTGCTGTTTGTTGCCGTGCCCGTTGTTTTAATTCAGCGTTGGGGTCGGAAGGCTGTTGGCGCGCTGGGGCACGCTGTGCGCCTCTGCAGGCAATATTGGACGTGCTCTCCAAAGAAGACGCGGTGGACCCTTGCCACAGGCGCGCCGACAGCGGTTTGGCTTGGGCTCACGGCCTCTTTAGGGCCTCATCTAACTGAGGAGTTGTTTCGTTTTCAGGCGTATCACGGGCGCAGCTTCAACCGGAATTTGGCTGGCAGAGATGTTTCCTGGCTGACACGTGTGAAAACACTTGCTCCACGTGGCTTGGATTGGCTCGATATGTGTGGGTCTAGCGGCTGCAGCACGACACGCACGCTGAGGATTGCGAAGGGTGCGTGATCCGACATGTCAAGTTCAAGTTCAAGCCGTGAGAACAAAGTTTACCATCACAGCCTTTTGCTATTGCGCACAATATGTTTGAATTGCCGCTGGCACTGGCGCACGGCAGGCGCCTTTTTGGACCCTTCTGCTTGGTGCTGCTGATCGCCGCTCGGAGAGCAAGAGCCAGTGTTGACCAGCCCAGGCTACAAGTGTGATGTTTGTCCTCTAGATTGGTGACGTTTGAGAGGAAGATAGTCAACCATCTAAGGCCCGCTTGCTATTTCATCAAAGGTTGACAAGCCGCTCTTGTTAGGGCACCACGCAGCAAAGAGCAGACTTAATGTCGGCATATTTGAACTCGCACGAACTGTCAGTTTTGGACACTATGCGGGGGGGGTGTGCCATCTCAGGCCACTGCGAACACAGAAGGCGAGCAATATTCGAGAGTGCGCAAAGCAACTCACCGGGACTCTCCGCAATGACGCCAAGGTTCAACATTTGGGGGTTGATCAAAAGGGTCTTCGCACAGGATGACCATTGGTTGGAAAAACCACTAAAAAGAAAAAGTTCCCTAAATGGGAACAGTTAGCCATGGTCATTTTGAGGCCGAAGGGAATCATTGATCAACCCCCAGTTGCACATAGAGCTTCCGGGCTGGCCCTGTGCCCCCCAAGAATGATCTCAGCTTTGTACTTGCTGGCCCAAGACTTTGGAGAAGATCTCAGGCGCTTGGACCGTGCTATCGTCTCGGTTGCTGTTTTTGGTGTCAGCTTTGGTTTCCCCAGATGGATTCCCCGCTGACCGGCGGCAACACTCGGGGGTTTCGAGTCGGATCTCAGGCCGTGAATGCGAGTGTCTTCAGCTATCTGAACTTAGACCCAGCGTTGGCAGCTGAGTGGCGCGATTGCGTTTGGGGAATTGGACGGAGACAAAATCGCCCAATGCCAATATTTGTGGGTTTGTGTGTTGTCTGCATGTCGCCATACCCAACCGTGGTGTCCAGCTTTTCTGACGGAACAGTCAACAAATCCTGCCATAGGAGTTTAAACAACCGTTTTGAGTTTCAAAGGCTTCTAGTCGTTCGATTGTCAGCCCAATGAAGCAGTTTTCAAGGAACGCGTTGCGTCAGGTTCGGGAAAAGGCCGTCTCCCCACTTAGCAAAGGCAGGATATCGTTAATTTCGATATCCGGGCTTGAGTACTGCCACAGGACTTTGCACGAATAGGCTTGATGTTCAGAGGTTGCAGCATGTTGTTTGTTGGAAACGTGGCCCCTGTTCAATTGACTGGGGATCGCTGGTTGAGCTCGCTTTTGTTTTGCCCCCTCTGAAAACATACATGCAGTCTCATTTGCAGGGGTGCAGGAACTGCTGGTATTTTGATCGATTGGGATGGTTACTCAACTCGAGCAACCCTGAAAGTGAAAGTGTGTGTCTTCGTAAGTGCCAGGATTTCTGTTTTGTAAAGGACTATCGCCAGTTGTTTAAGTGGCTCAAGCAGATTTATTGGCACATGCCACATTCCAACACATGGACAAATGCTAGGTGAAACAGATGTGTTGCATCCATCAATGTTGATGCAAGACCGCTTGTACATCAACGAATTTAGTCCATTGCGCTCAGATAGCATCGGGAGCTGGACATATTTGGTAACAATCATTTTCGTGCCTGAGGTTTCGATCCAGCGATGCCTGCTGTGGAGTGATTGCTACCTTAGCCTCTTGGCTTATATAGAGAGATTGCCGTTTGGATACTAGATGCAACATACATGAGCCTTAAGCCCTAGCTAGGGTCTTGCATTGGGGCTGCTGGTATCCTATTTACACCCTCTCGTTTAGTTGGCCCCACGTTTCTGCACCCCCCGCGTTTCCAGTTCGACAAGGCAAATGCCCTGTTGTCAGTCCTGGAATCAGCCGAAATCAACTTTGTGACAATCTTGCTGGCCCTTTTCAGCCAGTAGTCAAGTTGAGTCACCAACAGTGCAATCCGGTTATTCTCAGTTCCGGACAAACGAGCGAGAGGTTCAACTGCAGGTGGTTGGTTGTGAATACTCACAAGGGATCATTGTTTAGACGAAAGTACGCGTCTTGCAATCCCGAAGGTTCTAGAGGGGTTCCTTAGCCCTTGTACCCATCTTTGGGGAACCACTCCCGTTCAGGAAACGGCATGGCTGGGGTGTGGCTTGCCAAGGGCAACTGTCTTGGGTCCAAAGCAAAGAGGGATTCCGGTTACGCATTCTGTTTGACAGATGTCTTGCGGAATTCAGCAAACTATGCAGTGGCCCATCCTGATTTAAGGGTTCAAAAAATAATGTCAGGACGAATTGTGGCTTCTTCTTGGAACTTGTTTGGCGAAATGTTGCTGTCAATGGGAGTCGGGACCCGTGTGGGTCTCACCGTTTCGCACCCAAAAAACCAGGACCCTGGCTTCCAGGCACAAAGGAAGCCAAACTGGCGTACGCGCAAACCAACACACGCAAATCTGTACGAGGCCGCCCCATCACATGGCTAATCTCCTCGCTGCTACATATTGATGTCCACAGAGTCTCCAAATACCATTCATGCCCATCCGAGCCGCGCCTACGCCCCCTATCAATTTAGCAACTCTGGTTCTACCACCTCGCTTCATGGAATTACTCCTTTATCACAATGTTCAGGGGTCGGAACGAGCAATCGAACCAAAAGGGTAGAACCTCTTGCTGTCCTGTTTTGCATGATCTCGCCCCAGCATCATGTAGACCAGGCTATTGGATCCTTCAGTTGTCCATTTCCCTGACGCTGGGTCAAATGGGACTAGCCCTGATGTAGAGACGTGTAGGTGTGTGTGTGTGTGTGTCTCTGTGTGTGTGTGTGTGTCTGTGTGTGTGGCTGTGTGTGTGTGTGTGTGTGGTGTGTTTGTTTGGTTTTGGGCTTTTAGTTTGCTTGCTCTGCTTGTTTTCTTGACTGTTTGATTGTGTGTGTTTTGCTGTTTGTCTGGCTTTGGTGTTTTATATGACCCTTTTCACTTTGTCTTCAAGCAACACAGGGCCTGAATCCCAGGCGGGCTTGTGCCTGGCGGGACTCGCCGGTGCCCCAGCATGAGGTACCCTGGGTTGGGCTCAGAATTTGGACCCCCCAAACTTCCATTTGCTCAAGTTGGCGGTTCCCAGCCATCCAGTTCCTTAGGTTTTCCACGTTATGAGTTGGTTTTGGTTGGGTTTCCTTTTAACCCACGAAAAGTTAAACTTTTAGCAGGGGATCTGAGCAGCCCAGGTTTCAGTTCCCCCTGTGGTTTGAAAGGGAATACGAACAGGAACTCCCCTTTGGGTTTCAAAGGAAACCGAAAGCATGCCAACTATTTCGGGGGGGCCCTAACTTCTGTTTCAAATGCATTGTGGTTCCATGGTTGTTTGCCTTTGGTTGTTGGTTCTCTTTCGTTCCTTAACAGCACAAAACACTGTCTAATTGGGGAATGGCTGGAGGGGTTGTGGGAATGAGCAAAAGGCAAAAACATGGGATGGTTCATCACCTGCAAGTGGTTGGCCAGGATCAAAACCAGAGCATGAAGCCAGGTCCCAACAGTTGTCTTGATAACCCGTCAGCAGCGTCTCAAAGTTAGGGGGCCCCCAAGATGGTTGGTTTCTCTGAATTCCTTTTACAAACCAGCTTGAGGGAGGCGAGTTCGCCTCCGAAAGGGGCAAGCGTATGGAGCAGCGGTGTAAAGATGTCTTTGGCGCATTTTGCTTGGATGTTAGGACTTTAACTTTTTGCCAACTCATGGGTTTTCCATGAAACCACTAAAAGTTAAACCTTTCGCAGGGGAGCAGAAAGCAACCGAGATGTGTGGGTGTGGGTTCGTTTGGGAGTTGGTGTCCTTTTTGGGCTGGGAAAGCAGCCATTTGGAGGTTCCATACCATTTTATAGGGAGCGGCTTGGCCTGGAGTGAGCAATAGATCAGGGCAGGCCGCACAACCCATCGTTGGCTCAGGTCACCAAACTCGTCCACGACATGTCCTGCCTTGGTTTGAGTAACATTTGCTGTGGGGCTTGTTAACATTTGCTGTTTTTCAGGTTGAATGTTCAATCCAGAAAGATACAGACAAAGGGGGCACTATGAATAGTATGTCACATCGGGCTGCTACATCCATGGGGAATCCAGCACCACTCGATTCAGGCTTTGGCCAATAGCCTGGACCCTGGCACTGTGCATGCGGCTGACGTGAGCCACTTGGAGGAGCAGCTGGGTGGCGCAATCGAACCAAAATGGGGATGTCCTGAAACGGGGTGCCCTTCAAAGTGGGGGCATTCCCTGTTGGGTTCTCCTTTAACACCACTCCAAAAGGGGGCACCCTCAAAAGAAGACACACCCAAATGAAATGACTAAACCACCAATGATGACTAAAGCAAAATGGATGAGTTTTGGTCAAGATGACATGCACTAAAGGCTTGGATTTGTGCCATGGTTCACTGAACTGTACGAAAAAGCGTGATTGTAGAGGGCGCAACTCCCTTTGATGCATCATCCCTTGCTGACAAGGGAACATTCACATATAGACAGATAGATAGATACATGGAAAGATAAGTAGGTAAATAGATCTGTCGGATAGAGAGATAGTGAAGGTAGGTAGATAGGTAGATGGATACATAGCTCGATAGCTAGATTAGATAGATAGATAGATAGATAGATAGACAGACAGACAGACAGACAGACAGACAGACAGACAGACAGACAGACAGACAGACAGACAGACAGACAGACAGACAGACAGACAGACAGACAGACAGATAGATAGATAGATATATAAATAGACTGTAGATGGAAGATAGATGGATAGTGTAGATAGGTAGATAGATAAGAAGATACACAGACAGATATGACGTAGATAGATGGATAGAGATGTAGAGACTTAGATAGAAGTAAGATAGATAGATAGATGGATAGATGGATAGAAACATGTCAACACATTAGGAAGGTAAACAGAGAGATAGATGTACGGAAAGATGGCTAGATAGGCAGATAGAGATATTGTGATTAGCCATGGTTAATATCATCATCAGGGACGTCGCGTTAGTGACCGACCTGTGGTGTTTTGGCTCAAGATTTTGGGTTCCGTCGCGCCTCGAATGGGCGTCGCCGAACCCCTGCGTCGACCGACGGCATCTCGGGGGAGAAAGAGACCTCGGGCCGCCGCCAGGTTGGTAGGGACCAGTCGTGCGGCCTGTTGTCGACCAAGGTTGCGGGTTAACCCTTTTCTTGTTTGGTTTGTTTTCCTTTGGTTGTTGTTCTCTGGTGTGTGGGAAACCCTGATCTTTGGGACCGGGGATTGGTTTGCTTTTGGGGAACCTTTCTTTTGTGGCTTGTTTACCCCAACTTACCCATTGCCTGGGCACAGGCTCGTGCCCGAATCACAGGTTATCAGCCGTAGGACTTTCCTACGCGCTTGAGACCATCAACTACAAGCTCTATGTCGACCCCACGATCTCGAAGGAGTGTCGTGGATGAGGAGGCCATCCTAGGGGGCCTCCGCTCAGGTGAGGACCTACCGGACTACGACTACGAGGATTTCGAAGCAGGTTCGGCGGGTCAGGACCGCAGGGGTGAAGATCCCGGTAGGGATACACCCAGGGGCCGTGGCAGGTACGCAGACGATGGAGACGATCGTATTTTCCGCCAGGCCACTGATGACGAGCAGACACGAAGGGTTTACTCCGATAGGAGTGGCTCTGAATCAGGTCACAGGCGTGGACATTTTGACTTCATCAGCATGGCGATGGACATGGCCCGCCCTCATTCGGATGACCCGGAGGCCATGCCGGTTCGACCTCCGAGATCTCTTGTTCCAGGTGAGTCGCAGGTCTCGGATGAGTTTGAGAATAGGCCGCAGGGACCAGGGACTATGGTTCTGGCTCCGGGAGGTATCCCGGGCCGATCCACTGGTTCTCAGAATCCAGGTCAGTTTGATGAGCACGAGGAGCGGAAGTTCTCAGACTTCGGATACGATGATCTGTTGAAATCGACCGCAGGATGGGGCAGTAGCTCAAAGCAGGGATCTGATGCCGGTAGGCCCAACCCTATTACTGCCAAATCTGAGTCTTATGATGACGGAGATTACAATTTTGCGGATGAGGAGGAGAGCCATTCGCGCCGAAGTGCAGGCAACCGTGCGGCTGCAAGGACTAGTCCTGCCGCCGCCAAGTTTGAGGTAAATGATGATGACGAGTATGCCGCATTTGCGGATCGCCGTGATGAGGAAGAGCACCAATCACGACGAAGTGCTAGGATCCGTGATGCTGCGAGGCCCAGGAGCCTCTCTCGTGGAGCCGCCAGGGACCTTCGTGTTGACAGGGACGGCCGAAGCGAGAGAGAGAGAGCCAGGGACAGTCGGGAAGTTCTTCGAGGATTGGAGGCTATCCATGACCGTGAGGGACCGGTAGGTCCCCCGGCGATTGGTGATACCCCGAATGTTCCCCCTTTTCCTAACATTACTTTTGGAGGTCCGTTGGATCAGAGAGACGTGAACTCGAACCGGGTTACTGGTTCGCCGAGGATCACCGAGCGGGTTGCCGATGTCGTTGGGAGAGGTGCAAGAGATGGCCGGCTTGCCGATGCACTCGGAATCGAGGATCATCCATCGATCGCTAGCCCGTTAGGGCGAGATACTAGTGACCTTGAAACACTTAGGTCTAGCAACGAGTTCACACCTCAGTGGGGCTCGACCGCTAGGGAACGTAGTGCTTCTGCGAAGAGACCGTCACCCCTGGCCATTGAGACCGATAGGTCAAAGGCGAGGAGGGCTAGCCCCTCACCTATGGATTCAACTCCGCAGGATGAGGAGATGCCTGATCCTGCTGATGTTCACATTCACTCCACCCCCGAGTCACGTGCATCCAACGTTGATCCCCGATCTGGCGATAGCCGGAGAAGGGGATCCACCCCGAGTAGGCCATCCAGGATTGATGATTGTCCCGTAGATGACCCAAGAAGGCATGCCGGGGCTAGTAGGGCTCCTGAGAGGATCGAGATATCGACTCCTCCCGCCCTCAGATCTCAGTCTTCTGGCGAATCAGGTGACGTCAGGGCGAAGGAGATGTTCGAGTTGCACATCCAGGAGATGCTTGAAAGGGGTGAGGTTTCTGGCTCAGTCGCGAAGGCGTTCCATATCTTTGCTGACCAAATCAGGGTACTGAACGGTCAGGTGAGTTCCATGCGAAGGGAATGGAGTGACGAGAGCCGACAGACGAAAGACAAGGTCGATCGCCTGGCAGCTGAGGTTGCGACTCAATCTGATGCCGGGAGGATGCGTATGATAGTTCAACGGTTTGCAAGGGAAGTTATTCCTGACAGCAATACCATTGTGAGGCAAGCCATCGATGAACAGGCTGAAGTCGTCGAGCAGAGGATCAATCTGCTTTCCCACGAGATTCACGAATCTGTTAAGGACAGTGAACTCGCAACAGATCAGCTTCGCCAGAAGATTCACGAAAATAGTGAGGCTACCCGCAGGAGCCATGCTGCTTCCGAGGACGAGATCCTCAAGGACTTGGATAAGCTTGAGAAACGGATGTTCTCGGTAGAGAAAACCGTCGGGATGCGGACGCCAGCAGGTATATGGAACCCGAATCCTGTCGCGCAACCGTCCGATAGGGCCAGCAGCAGTGTGGTTGACGCGAATTTCAGGGAGTTAAACCTGAAGATTGAGAAAGCTCTCCTTGAACACGAGAAGTTTGCTAAGTGGGCCTCCGAATCTAATGAAGGCATAAATAAAGAGCATACCCTTCTTTCAAATCGGATGTCGAGGCTGCAACACGGAAGGGGATCCCAGGAGGTCGATAGACCATCAGGGCATGATTCCCCGCAGGACTGGCGTGAGGCGATTGACGAGGTCAATCGGAAGATTCAGGACCTAGCGCGCGGAGTTCAACGTCAACGTCGGGATCATGACGATATCATTTCAAGGTTTGAGACCTTGAAGTCCCGTGTCGACCGGTCTGAGGCGAGCTCGGGAGTTCTGAGTCAAGTTCTTGATGATATCAGGGGACAGATTCGTAGTCTTCCGGTAAGTACTGAGCAGGCACGGTCTGTCGTTAGGCGCGAGTTGGAATCATTCCGCAACACACTTGAGGCCTCGGTGAGGAGGATCAACAATGTTGAGAGCAACATTCGTACTCTTAACGGAATGAACAACAGGATCATGGCTCAGCTCTTTGAAATCGAAGGTCATGTTGATGAGGCTGCTGTCATTATTCAGGGTGCCCGAGACGATCAGGCAAATCCCCCGCAGCCTAGAGAGAGACGGAACGTTGGGTACGACGCTTTCGCGGGGCAAGGACACAGGATCAGGTCTCCGACGCCCACTCCCGGAGAAGGAAATGGTCAGGGTACTGGCCTTCCGGTGAGACCGGGCGGACGCGTTGATTTGGTTGATCACGCTTTGCCAGGTGTGCCCGGTAGGGTCGATCCTTCTCGTGCAGACAGGCATCCCATATATCCCGTTAGGGAGAGGTCCGACAGCAGAAGCCGGAGGGCTCGGGGATTGCCTGACAGGTCGCATTCACCGCCAGGGCGTGCGAGGGATGGCCCCCGCGCGCGCGCAAGGGGGGACATTTCTGTTTCTCCAAATAGGGATGTGGGTAGGAATAGGAGCCCGAGGCCTGCCGCCGTCCCCGATAGGGGATCTGAGGTCCGAAGTCGGCAATCAAGGGGGGAGAGGCCAATCCGCGATAGCGGGAGCATCTCTCCGAACCTGGATAGACCGATCCGCGATAGCGGGGACGTCTCTCCGAACCCAGACCGTCATCCAGGAGGTGGTAGGGGTATTAGGGCCCATGCCGATACCCAGAGTCCCGGCGATGACTGGAGGACTCCTGGGAGCAGAGCTAGTGCAGACGTCCCGAGTCCCGGCGAGAGGTGGAGGACCCCTGGAGCTCCATCTGATCGTGGACAGGCCTCGGCACCGGCCACAAGAGGCGCTCCCGGTGCCGGTGGCCCAGGTGTGCCAAAGATTTGTGCCCTCGATGACCCCAACGACCGTAGGCACCCGGACGCTGCATTTTCGTGTGTTACATGCAATCGTGAGTTTTGCAGGCTTTGCCGGGGCGATGATGGTGACTGTAGTAATTGTCAGTTTTTGAAAATGAAGTGCTGGGCATGTCGCAAGAATGCTCAGGAGGTCTCCATGTATTTCTGCACGGATTGTGGGACCCACGTCTGTGAGAATCACAGTTACTTTGGAG